AAGTAGCGTAAGCGTTGACATTAACGTTAGCGTGACGTTAACGTAATGACTGCCATAAATTTGCATTTATGGCGCGTTGGCAAGCAATTCATTTAGTGGTCATAGAACCACGGCTGAGAGGTGTGAGACAGATGAAGAGAGAGAGAGAGGGGGGTAGTGGGCGTGGAAGAGGAGTCCTGTAGGACCCAGGTGGCTGCTGATGCTGCTCAACCTGTCATGTGACGCGGCGTCTGCTGACGGGCGAGCGAGTCGCCTGGGCATATTAATTAAAGTGTCGCTGCTAATGAGTTAGATTAAAGCGCACAGGACGCACGACACACAAGCCAACTACAGCTTCTGTGTGTGTGTGTGTGTGTGTGTGTGTGTTTGTATGGGTTTGGTAATTGGCTGCAGGATAAAATCGAATCCAGGCTCACGTTCGCTCGTGTGTGTGTGTGTGTGTGTTTATGAAATTGGCCGGGCATTCATTATGCTTTTTATGCACGTCAGTTGACAAGGACGAACAAGGTCCTTTAATACCTGCCCAGCCAGGCCTGCTTAACATCATGCAATTATGCTCGGGCACAAAGCATTTGTGCCTCTGATTTGCCTCGTTATATCCTCGAAACACATCATAAAAATTGTTTGTGTATGCCCAAAAAGTATGCTAACATTAATGTAATTCCAATTGCTGGTAATTTGAACTTTTGCTTTTATGTTAGGTTGTTGAAGTATTTATTTGCTTTATACACACTCGCACGGTCTGCTTTTTGGTCTGTAAGTAATTTAAATTGCAAAACTTGAGCTCACGAATATTCTGTAAAAGATGACCTTTCACAAATGAAACCAGATGAATGTACAAAGCTTTAAGGTTTGCTTTAGTTAAATGAAAATATTTTTATTGGAGGTAGAAGATTAAGCTTTACTCTTGCTATAAGCTGTGGCCTTCTTTTAATAGAGCTTTAATCTTTTTTGCGCTTTCAGCACGCTTCCATGTGCTTTAAAAGCAATTGGAAATAGTTCAAAACCTAGCTCTTTCATTTCTAAATTATTAAATTTATTTTTTTTTTAAATAAAAGGTGTAAATGTTGCCTGACAATTAAGGCATTTTATTGAGCTTGAATTCATTTGTCAAAAAGCCTTTCTGTGCTTTCCATGCTCGACAATTTAAGTCTTGAAAAACAATTAAAAATATTGTTTTCTTTTAATATTTCGATTAAGAAATTTAAGCGTATAAGCGTTTAATCATAATATAAACCAATAAATGTATTCCATTCCCCAACAGAGCAATTTTGGTAAAAGCTTTTGCCTATTTTTTTGAACTCGTCTTCAACCCAAAACCAATTTAATGTCACTTTCGGCCAATGTCTTTAGAGGCTTTGGCTTTTGGCCCAATAAATATGTAGCCTGTATTTATTAAATTGTTGTGGACATGAATGTAATACAAGCGTTAACAAATGTTATTTTTATTGCTTAAATTGTTGTGTGTCATAAAATGGCATCAAAAAGAGAAGCGCAAACAGCAACACAGTGATAAAAAAGCAGGCACTGGACTGGGAAAGGGGCTTTTAAATAAAAGTCATATATCAGCTCTTGAGCGACGGACACACACACAAACACACACACGCACACGCACACACACACAAGCACACGCACTGGGATAAAAAGTTGTGCCGTCTGGCGCTGCTCTTACTGATAAAAAATAACATGCAAAAGGCAACTTTGTCAATTTGTATTTGATTATTTGCTTTTCCTTTGCCCAGCTCTGGCTACGCTGTCCATCTCTCGCTCTCTCTCCTACTTGCTTTCTCTCTCTTTCTCTATCTCTTTTTCTCTCTCTCTCTCTCTCTCTCTCTCTGTCTCTCTCTCTCTATCTATCTATCTATCTATCTATCTATCTATCTTTCTCTCTTTCGCTCTCTCTATCTCTCTCTCTCTGCCCCTATATATATCTCTCTCGCTCTCTCTCTCTATTTCTTTAGCTTTCTCTCATTCGCTTTCTCTCTTAGCCCGGCTGCCATTTCATAGATATTGTAAGCACTTCCCGTTTTTGGCCCGCATTGCATAAAGTGCTTTATGCGCACTGCCGGAAATTTGCCAAGTGCCGTTATTAATACTAATATTTTCATATGTTTGTGTATGTGCTGCGTATGTTATGAGTGTGCGTGTGTGTGCGTGTGCCGTGGCATTTGGCTTTTAATGGCCCACACAACTGTGCGCTTTAAAACTGTTGACATGTCAAAAGGTTAGCAAGGACCCCCAAACAGCCTTTTGTTACACTCGCAACATTTGACTTGGGCGAATGGCAGACATTAAATGAGCTTAGCTCCAACCGGCAAATGCTCTCAATTTCACTTGCACAGCTTAATTAGCGCCTTGATGGGGGGGAGGGGGGAGCTAGAGGTTGGTTAACTTGCCAGCAATTAATTTTTGCGGCAAGGCAAATACCTTCATTTGTTACCCTCATAACTGGCTGCCAGTTAAAGTTGACGTATTGCTTTGGATATTAACGACGCGACTTTCTTTGTTTGTATAGTTAAAAAGCGTTTCAAAATTTTTGTTCTGCTTTTTAAATGCGATTCGCCTCTTGGACTTCCTTAGTGCTTTCAAAATTATATAATTCTTAGGAACATATATTTAAATGTTGAAAAACTGTCTCTCTGTTAGAAGAAGATACTTTCATTGACTTTCTTCCCTTCTTTTACTTTTATTTTATTATTCTCCCACGCTCTTTTATTTAAGCTTTCTGTCCCAACACAATTCCACTCTCTTTTGAAATTACTTTCTTAACCATTGCCTTTCTATGCGATTCTCTTAAATATAAACTGGCTCTAACACAGCTTTGTGTGCCATCCATAGCTATTAACAGGGTATCTTAAAGTTGAGATTTCGACTAAAACCTTCCCGTTTTCGCTTGTATTTGTTCTTCATTTTGTTATTGGTTTTGAATTTTCCTTTTATTATGCTGGAATTCTTTTCTAATTACTCTCTATAATATTGTAGACCTATCTTTAAGCGCTTTTAAATCACAAAAATTACAACTGATATTTGTAGTCTTACTAAGTAGCAGTTGCTTTATGACGCCTGGCGCACAAGCTAACTTTTTCATATAAATTGGAGGACAGCGTAGCTGCAACCGCCGGGCGCATGCAACTAAATTGTGGCAACAGCTGCCACTGCTGCTGCTGTTGCCGCTGCATATTCATTTCGGCAAGCTTTGTGCAGCTTATGCCACGGATGTGGCTGCGGCTGCGGCTGCGACTGTGATTGCGGCTGAGGCATAGTCGGAAACTGGGCGGCCCTGGCTGCATGACTCTGACTCTGACTGATGGCCAGGTAAAGCCCGTTGCAAGCGTCAAGCTGCCGGCGGATTAAGTAAAATATGCAGCAACGGGATTTCCACTGATGGACACGATTAAAAATATGATGCGGCGGCTGCTCCTGCCTCTGCCGCTGCCGCTGGGGCAAATTGCAGCGGCTTTAATAAAGCTGCCATTTTGCCAGCATTATGGAAAATGTCAATGCGGAAAATGCGCACTAAATGGATTTCTTTTTTAATTTTCATTTTATTTTATTTTTGTCAGTTGCTCACAAATTAAATTGTTCGCCGAACTTTAGTTTTAAATATTTTACGCTGCCAAAAGCTGCTTAGCTCGAAAAAAGTTTCTCTGGAATTTGTATATAATGGAATTTTTACAATTTCATGTTTTTCAGCAACTTTAGTCGCTAACGCCCAAATGTATGCTACATTTTGCTACACATACGTAGAGAGCATTTGGAAGCACCTTTAATTCATTAAGGCTTTAAAAAACTCTTGTAAATTGAACTATGAAATAGGCAATACCCTAAATGAAAAATATTTGGAAGAAATATTTAGATAAAGTTAGCTTTAAATTGTAGCAAATGCTGAAATATTTCTTCTGCTTTTCAACCATCGATTGTTTTAAAAAGCGCTACATTTTTCAAAATGTCCACAGATTTATACAAAAAATAATCCCCTGTTTCTTACTACCAGAAAGTGATGCAGTTCTTTATCATTAATGCGAATGTGTAATTCATATTATTTACAAAGACTTGTATTTGAAATTCTATTAACTTTTGAAACATAGCTTAATAAATGTATATGCTTTATAGAATTGTTAATAATAGATGTTATGTATATAAATGGACTTAATTTCTATACATTTAATCTATGCTTAATACGCTCCATACTTGTCTAAAGCGCTAAGATTGGGCCAACTTCCATTTGGCACCTTTAACTGTAATCCCCGTGCTCATATGCTCCCTCTATGTTTTTCTATAGGGTATTCAAGTGGTTGGTGCTAGCATTTAACAGCTTCCGTTTTCCGTTAGCAATTTCATTACTTTAATGCGCCGAGAAGGCCGACGAACGGCAGGCACTGAAAATTTCGGACACGGAACTTGGGACAGATGGGCAGCCAGAGCCGACCAAGCGGGCGACCAGTCGAGCAGGCAAAGTTTTTAAATCTTTATTTATACAGCTTCCGCAGAGCATTTTGTCCTTGCTGAAAGTTTGTGGCTTCCAATGTGTATTATGTGTGTGTGAGGGTGTATGTGTGCTATATGTGTGTGCTTAAAAATGAAATAATTTTGACAGCCACACTTTTGCGGCTGCCAATGCAAAAAGCAGGCAACAGCATTCATAAAATGCCTTGACAAAAGTTTTGCCCAAGGGTCACACAATGTGCCAAGGAAAGGGAACATGGCACTTGGAAGCTGTATGAAAAGGGGGTGTAGGGGGGGGGGGGGCAGGGGGTGGTCTGATAGGTTGCCCTAGAGCTAATGGAATTGAGTTGGAGCCGACCGGGGCCAGCTCAAAGCGGATTAAGCTGCGCAACTTGCCAAATTGTTTAGTTTTTAGACAACAGCAGGCACAACAACACATTGAAAGTTCTGCCACCCCCCCCCCCCCCCTGGACTCTCTTCTTCTCCCCCTGTCACCGAAGAACACAAGAATAGATGTATTTGAATTTAACCACTCGCCTTTGTTTGATTTACAGTGCATGCGCGCCTATGTGGACTTTGAGATAACCGAAGGCGCCTACGAGATCTCCTGCCCCGATGCCAAATGTCCAGCGCAGGGCGCCATATCGCTGCCCGAAATCGCGACCCTAACCACAACGAATCTGCTAAAGAAACATCATCGTTATCGCCTAAATCGAGGTACGTGCCGCAACTCTAGCTAATCCCTGCCTAATCGCAATCCATTTATCAACCGGATTCTCTATTATAGAAATCGAATTGGACAAAACGCGCACCTGGTGCCCACGTGCGGGCTGCGAGACAATTTGCACGGTGGGTTGCGGTGCTCCGCGTGCTGCGGGTGCCGCAGCAGCAGCAACCACTGCGACTGCTACTGCGACAGCGGCTGCGACTGCGACTGGTGGCAGCGCCATTTGCCAAATGGATGAGTCACCATCAACATCGCAGAGCTATACACCGCAACAGGACAGCGCTACGCCGCTGCTCTCCATATCCGTGCACTGTCCCTCCTGCAAGGATGAGTTTTGTGCCCTCTGCAAAAAGGCGGTGAGTCGAATATTCAAATGGGAATCCTATACGAGGCCAGAATTATAATTCGAAAATGATTTATTTACAATTAGACAAAGGCTAAGATGTATTGCCTTCAGGGAACATCCTATCCATTCCCTTTTTATAGAACATATTAAGGAATAGATAAGCATTCTTCGGGTGCTAAAGAATAGAACACACTTCCCTTACCACAATTATTTACAGCGCAGTTTTTGCTAGAACCATTTGAGAATTACAGTTGATTTATTAGCTCTTCAAGTACAATTATGCGAGATAGTTTAAATAATTTCTATGATCTCAATATAATATTTTTTACCTTAGTTATACTAAATTTAGTTCTAGAAGAAATTTTCCAACATTTAATTTTTGCATCTGTCTTTTTGCCCGGCACAGTTTCATCCAAACATAAGCTGCGAGGAATTTGGACGTCGTTTGATTGCAGATGGTCAGGATGATATTGGCATACCGTTCGACAACGAGCTCATCAAATGCTGCCCCATGTGCGCGGTGCCCATTGAGAAGGACGAGGGCTGTGCCCAGATGATGTGCAAGCGCTGCAAGCACGTCTTCTGCTGGTACTGTCTGGCCAGTCTGGATGTGAGTATACTAGTGTAGAGTTAATTGCCAGCTGCTTGGGGCTAACGACAAATGCATTCGCTTAATCACAGGATGACTTTCTGCTGCGGCACTACGACAAGGGGCCGTGCAAGAACAAATTGGGTCACTCGCGCGCCTCGGTCGTCTGGCATCGCGCCCAAGTTATTGGCATATTTGCGGGCTTTGGCATTTTACTGCTGGTGGCATCGCCGTTGCTGCTGCTGGCGGCGCCGTGCATCATTTGCTGCAAGTGCCGCGGCTGCAGCGGCTCCAAGATTGATGAGGTGGACGCCGAGCTGGAGGAGGAGGTCACCGCTTTGCAGGGCTAGCTTCGAGGGGCGCTACTGGATGGATAACCATTTCAAATTGTGTTAAACCCACTTGAGCTGCTGCTGCTTCCTCTCCCCCTCCCCCTCCCCCTCCCCCATTTGAACAACCTGACGAGTTCTTTATTTTTAACCTTGCGACTAGAGAGATGGTGGCAAATATTGTTATTGACGAACCGTTTAAATTTATTATTTTAATTGTATGCATTGTATAGTATGTGTTAACTAAATTGTGATATTTACAGTGATTCGATTTTTAATTGAATCGAAAATTTGTTGAACCTATACAGAGAACAAGCGCGCCTTTGATTCTTTTCTTGTTTTAGGTTTCGTGTCGATTTCTTTACATACACATACGTCCCATGTCTATGTATGTGTATCTATATATGTATTGTTTATTATTTTTGTCCATTCAACAAGATTGTATACATTGCGTAAGCCCAAGCAACAGTTTAGCGCGTAAGTTAGCCTAAATTTACTAGCCCACTCTAGCATTTTAAGTATAACTCTCATATAATTCAAATGTGCTGCTTTTATATCAAGAACACACACACACACATCCTTACAACACACCCATACGACCTTTTTCTCAAGTATTACGGGATACCACATGCAAATATCGAAACCGAGTAATCAGCCCAAAATGTTAATTAATTTCAAATGTTTGTGCAACTGCTTGGAAATGCTTTTAAATACTTACATAAATATATACACACAGAGGTGAGTGTGTACGTGTGTGTGTGCACACACGCAATTAACATATAACATGAATTATAGAAAAAACCGAAAATTTATGCTGAAACCCATGTACGTACATATAAGAAAAGGTTTTGATCGATGTAAATTATTAAAAATACTTATTTAATGCATATATATCATAAAAATATATTAAATATATAACTATTAATGTGCGTGTATATTAAAAACAATGTTTAAATTCTACTCTTAATGTGAACAACTACCGCGTATGCTGTTTAAAATAAAATGTTAAAAAAATTATAAACTAGAAATTAATTTCGCTATTCAAATACGCGCGTTGCTATCGATAGTTCTAGCACTTAAGTTACACCTATCGATATTTAACCATATTAGACTTTAAGGTGACCATATTGTTCAGTGTTGCATTGAAAGTGTGGTATTTTAGTTTATTATCGATAACCAAACAAGCTGATTTTTGCGTGTGCCATTTAGAGCTTATTTCTATTTCAATTGCCGAACTGTATTTAAGTGCATACAAATTGGAGTTTAAGTGAAATATAGATCCGCAGGATGGAGGAGCAGGCCTGCCCGCGGTGTAAGACCACCAAATACCGCAATCCATCGCTGAAATTGATGGTCAACGTTTGCGGCCACACGCTATGCGAATCATGTGTGGACATGCTCTTCCTCAAGGGCTCCGGCGCCTGTCCGGAATGCATGGTACCGTTACGGCGCAACAACTTTCGCGTGCAGCTCTTTGAGGATCCCATGGTGGAAAAGGAGGTGGACATACGACGTCGCATACTGCGAGACTACAACAAGCGCGAGGAGGACTTTGCCACGCTTGAGGAGTACAACGACTATCTGGAGGAGATCGAGGACCTAGTATACAATCTGTGCAACAACATTGAAATAATCGAGACCAACAAACGCATCGAGGCCTACAAGCGGGACAACCGCGACGTCATTCAGCGCAACAAGACGCGCGTCGGTCGCGATGAGTGCGCACTGGAGGAGCTGCTTGAGCTGGAGCGAGCACAGGATGAGTCGCGCAAAAAGGAACTCGAAGAGCTGGAAACAGAGCACAAAAAGCAGAAGGCGCGCGACAAGCAGGCACTCATCGAGGAGCTAATGTACAGCGGCAAGGACGCTGCCACAATTGTCAGCGAGTTCGCCGAGAAGGCGGAAAAACAGCGCGAGGAGGAGAAACAGCTGCCGCCACCAAAAACCGCCAACGAATTCTCCACAGGCATCAAGTTTGGCCAGACGGCAGACCCTAGCTTACTGCCAGTACCCAAATCGGAGGAGGGTCCGCTGTTTGTTTACGAGCCGCTGTTACCCATCACCGAGGGTCCCACGCCGCCGCCTATCAGCGACGTCGAGTCCATGGGCTACATCTCACACATGCGCTCCGAGACGCCTCAGGAAAACGCCGGCGGCTTTACTTCCACAATGGCATGCCAGCGGGCTCTGCAGGAGGCGCTGCAGTGCCTCTACTATACGCCCACTGCCGGTGTAGGCGTCGGCCTTTAGCAGGACAATTGAACAAATATTATAGTTTAAAACTAACAGAACGCTTAAAACCCATTGTTAAACAAATGTTTCTCCTATAGAAAGGCATTATTTCCATGTACTCTAATCCTATTTATACAACATACCATTATACTAAAAGAAAACATGTTTTCACTGCTCTCATCCTGCCGTAGCAATATGGATAGAAATTCGAGAATTTTTGCACATTTAACAGTTTTTAGTGAAAACAACTCATACCTCGGCCGAATCCTTGCATTGAAACAGGTATATCACACTGAAATCAGAGAATAGATTGGCATTAAAGTTTTCTTTATTTCAGAAAAATTTAGCTTATTGCGAAAAACATGCATTTTTGATCATTTTGGGACAACTCTTAGAATGCGGATTTTTAAGCGCGTTGAGCGCGTGGAGGTCCATAGAATATATTTCGGAAAAGTCATTTTTCGCCAAAAACGTGATGTCAAAAAAGAATCCTTTGGTAAAGTCAACCTTTCTTGGTGATTTTTTGGAATACCTCGGACAAATAATGTTCGATTTTGGAATGATATACCATTTTGGACTCGCAAGGATCATCATTAAAAAAATGCAAATCTAAATTTTGGACCAAATCGATAAAAAATGCAAAGGACATTCCATTGACCACCTTAAGGACCATTCTCAAATCCTTTGTACAACACGTAATACTTGTCCTGCCAACTTAAAATATCTAATAAAAAGGACATAAATCCTTCGTGGAGCTGAGGTAAAGAGCTTTATGTCGGGAGAGATAAATGGCTGTAGATCGGCCGTATCCTTGCCGATCATGATGTCCATTGGCCAACTGTAAGTCCTCATCCTTCCAATTCAGAATATATAATGAAATGAACGAAGTCCTTTAGACAGCCTAGATATGAGTACAAATCTTTCGCAAATGAAAAAAGCCATAACTCGGCCGTATCCTTGCGGATCCTTACAAGTCCTGTGCCAAACAAATCGTATAAACAAGGAACATAAACTGTCCAAAGGACGACAAAATCGTCCTTGCCGTTTCCGTGATATGGCTAATTTTCTAAAAAGGACATTTTTTAATTAGCCACAGCTCGGTCAAATCCTTAAGGATATCGAAAGGATATACCTTTTTGAACTCGTGGTGAGCAGAACTATCGATTGGCATTCAAGGATTTCCAGGATTTCGTCGAAATTTTTCCTAGTCGCAAAATGAGCTAAAATCGAAAAATGTCAGGCTAACTTTGCCATTTCAAGGACTATCGTGATGTCCTTTGGCCAGCAGATAGTTCTCAGCCTCCCATTCAAAAATTTACAACCCAAAGGACGAAAATCCTTCAGACAAAAAAGTGTTAAGGGCAATTTTGCATCCTAAAACTAGGCCATAACTCGGCTGTGTCCTTGCGTATGCCCATTTCCGTTTTTCCATTTCCGCGACTGAAATTTTACAAGTCAAAATACAAGTCCTGGGATTCTTAGATGACCCCATATTTTTATGATGCAGATCGATGCAGGGGGTCTATACGATCCTAACGCACCATGTCCTTTGAAAATCAGCAAGGACATGACCGAGTAATGTCCTTTTTTCTTTTCATAAAATGTCTTAATATATTTTTGCCTTGTTTAATTTAAGTTTGTTTTTATTTTTTCAGACTGGCAAATTAAAGACTACAATGAGCTCTAAGGACCTTCACGAATGACAAAGCAGATTTTTCCAGGATAAATTAGCTAAAATTATTATTTATGCTCGATTTATACAATTTTAAGAGAAATAATTAAGATAACATAGATTAACATAATAAATCAATTATTTAATTGAATAAACAAACTCCTGTTTTTTTATTTCCAAGGACGTTGTGGTTAAAATCAAAATTAAAAATCCATTGCATACCCACCAGGAACGTCTGTTGGCAACCGCTGGCTGCCGAGATTTTTCTTAAAATCTGCCAAAATACCAGGCGAACAGAAATGCCCAGCAGGTAGATGCACAAAAATTTTAATTTAACAGACCACTGTTAATTAGCAGCTGTTAATAAACAGAGCACTGTTAACCAGCAGCTGCTGCTGTTACTTAACATACCACTTAACAGCTGCTGCTAAAAAGGGGGCGTCCGATTTCATCGAAAATTTGGCAAAAGTACCAGGCGAACAGAAATGCCCAGCAGGTAGACGAACTAAAAAACGAATGCAAAATTTCATTGCATAGCCACAAGGTGCAGCTATGTAAAATGGGTCCTGAAATCATAAAACATACATTTTCTGGACCGTTTCTGTGCGCATTTTGCAGGGATTTGGTCCTTTAGGTTCACCAGGACTATATCAACGGTATGGTATAACCAAGGATATATGGGTCAACTAGGTACCATCGAGGGGGATGGCTGAAAGAAAAAGCATTCATATTTTTTGACCATTTCGGCCATTTAGGTTCACCAGGACGATATCTTTGGTATGGTAAAACCACGGATATACTGGTCATCTAGGAACCATCGGTTCTGATTGTCTGTTCGCCCGGGGCGTGGCAGATATGGCAAAATAAACACAAAAAACAGCAAAAAAAAATGTGTACAGTTTCTTATGAATAAAATAGCTCATAGCTCGGCCGTATCCTTGCGTATCCTGGTGAGTCCTGTGCCAAACGATTTGTACTAACCAGGGCTATCAGCTGGCCAAAGGACATCAAAATCGTTTTTGTAGTTTCCGTGAAATCAAGGATTTTGTTATCCAAAGCGCCAATCAGTTACAGATTGCTTTACATGATTACAGACTTGGGTTTTTATTAAATACTTGTTTTAACAATAATTTTTGTATAGGCGTAGATACATATGCTAGATATTGTCGTAGACATACGCGGATACGATACACATTATGTAGGTATATATAATAGAATTTATACATAGTTTTACACATTTGCATATTCTAGTTGCACAGTAAGAGGTAAATATGTTTGCGAACGTGCCACATGAGAGATTTTGGCCACACTTGGGGTTACATCCTTGCCAAAAATATAAGTAGATTGTATAAACAGATGGCTTATATAAGTATATGTATACAGTATGATGCTATGCGATGATAAATGGCCAAAGATTACAATGTGCATGAGAATGAGTAAGTTAATGGATTAATGGAGTGATGAGTGGATCGATCTACTCGTACATATACAACGAATACATTTCAAATCCATAAAGCATGTTTTATACAAATACAAATCATATATAGATAAATATAAATTTATAATTAAATGGGTGTTTTCTATGGATTTGTCACCGCTTCGAGTCGGCCAGCACAGTGCGAGCAGCTGCTTAGGCTTGACTTGGAATGTGTCAGCTGCCACAGCCTGTGCGGCGGCATCAAAGGTGTGCGAAGGTGATCAAGGTAGGGGTGATGCAGTTGGTGGATTGGTGTTACAGAGTAGGCTTAATTGTTAAGGTTTTCATAACATTTAATTTAGACGTTAATTTTGCGCCTTACATTCTAATTTAAAATGTTAACATTTAATTATATATAGTTTAGCATTTGTTTTTTTCATTCATTTTTATACAGTTTGTTGCTGTTATCATTAAGAAATTTCTTGCTCGCGTCAGTGTTTGTTGATTGTTTGCTGTAAGTATATTTCCATAGATGTATATTTATATATATATATAAATATATGTTAATGGTTAACTAATTTATTGTTGCCCAGCGACATGTTGTTGGGTTCACTTGCATTAGTTGCTCTCAAAGTGCACTGCTTGGTATTATAAGTAAGTAATTATTATTTGTATGAATATGAACGCCTGTATGAATATTTAGAAAATACGTTAATCTGTCACAGCTAATTTACACCTAACGTGTCTAGTAGGCCTTTAAAAAGTGCAGTTCCAAATTTATAGTTGGTTGGTTTTTGAAAAAGAAAAAAAAAACTATTATTGATTTGATTGATGGTTTGTTGTTGGCGATGTCCTTGCAGGCGGCAGGCAGGCAACAAATTGGTTGGTTGGTTTGTTTCTTTGTTTGTTTTTGTTTGTGATGTGTTGAGTTCGTGAGTTTTGTGTAGGCGCAACGCAAGCAGCAGGCAGTAGTCATAAATTGCAACGTTAACTAAACAGAATCATCTGCAAGTAAATAGACACGAGTTATTTATACAGATGCGATAAGTTGTACAGTTCTTCTATATACACAATGGTATATAGATAGAGATATATGTATATAGATCACGCATACGCACCGTGATACCACCATTTAGTCTTTTTGGGATTCTTGTTGCACGTCTTCACGTAGAGTGTGTTGTCCGGCGGTCGCTTCTTCTCGCGACAGCTGCTCAACATGGAGGCTATGCTAAGGCACACCGATTGCACCGACAGCGCCGGCGACCAGTCCTCGGTCAATATGGATAAGCAGATGTGACCATTGCTGTAGACATGCGGATGCACGGGTATATTGCTGCCAATAAAAGTGACCTGCAACGCAACAGAACCAAATCGAATTTTAATTAACTAATTAACCATTTGTATTTCATGCTGAAACTCACCTCTGGCGAATCAAAGGGATATTTATTGTTGAATTTAAACAGCAGCTGGAAGTCTTCGCCCTCATAAAGTGTGCCCTCGAAACCTTTAATATTTATTTTCCATCTGTAATCAAGACATCAGCCATATTAATTAGTTGCTCGTAAAAATGCCAAATAAGAGAAACAATTGTGCGCTTTGTTCAACGCGCTAAATTGCCAAATTGAGCCAACCAGTTTCTTAATATGTCTTTTTGGTTTTCGACTGAACTTGGCCTAGTTGCGCTTTGTGGCACTTACTCTGATAAATTTTGCTGTACGCTTTCGGTGTCAACAGTCACGCCTGGCGGTGGCTCCTTGATCAGGGACATCAGTTCTTTGTGCAAACGGCGCTGCAAGTGAAGAGCAGAGGAAGAAGAGGCGAAAATGAGCATCGATTTTATTTTGGCAACAATTTTGGCCCCCAAGCCCATAAAGTGACCTAAAAGTTCAGTTTCCCTTCTTAATGATACATCGCGTGTTTTGCTGGCCAAATATAATGTCGGTATGTATAAAGACTTTATCGCTAACACATTTCCTTTTGGCTTACAAACGTCAATCTGCGCTATATATATATATATATATATATATGTGGAGTGTATATATAGATAGCATTCTATAGATTAGATAAAAAACTGCTCGTGCAATGCTCTTGAGGCCCCTTAAACTGTCGATTGTTTTCGTTATTTTGATTCTACAAAAGTTGTTTTTTCTCTGTGCAATTATAAGCCATAAATATATAAATAAAGATATGTGTATATATCTTGATATATTGGCTTTCCCATAGAGGCTACAGTTTGGTCGATTAGAGCTAAGCGCCTTGTACTAGAGACTCGAGTGTATCTTGGCCTGGGTGCAATTTAACAAAGGAAATTAATTATTATCACAAGAGCAAGGCCCAAATACTTAAACGGACGATATATATTATAGATACAATGTTTCAGGCTAGTCGTCTAACCCTCCGAAAATGTATTTTCAGCTGCAGTCTCATAACTTGTTCCCGGAAAGCTCTAGTCCCGCCCAGCAAATGACGCAATTTGGCAATTGGCGCTATATAGTTATCTATGCATATATATGTATAGAAGTTCGCATGATAAACTGGCGAAAAAGTCAAAGGGGAAAAAATTTGTCATGGGCGCTAAAACTTTGTACGAAGGTGTAAATCCCACAATAAGACGATAATTCATTCCAGCTAGATATGGGTAGGCAGACCCGATAAGTCTGGCCAAGGCCAAGGGGCGCAAAGTGCGAGTTCGTTTATCTGGCCAGAAGTAGGAGGTGCCAGAAGTAGGGACGAGTACTTGCCTCCCAGCGCGAGTTGTCCAGCAGGAGGGGCTTGCCGCATTTGGAGACCGCCGGCTTTTGGGGCTCTTTGGGCTCGTTGATGATCTCCGATTTGGGAATTTTGTCTTTGGTTTTCTTGAATAACTTTAGCATTTTGTCTCACGTTCACACGAAACACTCGCGACACTTTAGTTTAGTTTATATATATATTTATGATTTATTTGGTTTGTTTTGTTGCTTTGTGAAGCGCTCGCAATGTTGCTGTGTTTTAGACTAAAATATCGAATTTGAATTGCTTTAATTTCGTTTCTCGCTTTTTAAAAACAGCCAACTATGTCGAGTTACGTTCGCCCAGGGCCCAGCACAATTTATAAACGCACTCAGCCGCCAACAGCCGCATTTTAGCCACAAAATTCACAAAAATAATGCACAGAGTTCGGAAATTCGCGACGAGCAACAGCCAAATGCGCCAACGTTCCGCGTGCGACTGTGGCAAAAGCGTCGAGCGAAATTTACTCAAAGCCAACACAACACACAAAACCAACCCAGCGCCCGCCCAACCCCACCCAGCCCCTTCCGACCCGACCCCGCCCAACCCCACCCAACCCGCCAAGCAGCTGTTCGAGACGAGGCGTCGACAGCGCCGAGTCCGCCGGCAGAGCTTGTCATCGTCAGCGTCAACGTCAACGTCAGCGTCAACGTGCCTCTGTCTGCGTAGTGTATTTTCCTCATACCCTTCCCTTACCCGGCTGGCTGCGCTATCAAACAGTTGACGCATTTTTAAGGATCGTTTACATTTTATATCATACACAATCCTGTGCAGATGAGTTCGCGAGACATATAGCTATATATATACATATATTCTATCTGATCGCACCTGATTTATATATCATATCTAGCTAGCATAGATAATCGCTTGAAATCTGAATAAATGTGAAGTAAAGTCCACTTTCTATTATCTATAATTAAAAAGGTTTTTCCAGAAACTTCTTGAATACCAATTATAGAGTATTTGCTAGCCGGCACACGTTGTTATTGTGCTAGCTTCACTTTTTTAGCTTTATCTTTTTTTGCACTATCAAAATGGGCATTTTATGAGCACAGCGAGGAGGCAGGCAGGAAAAACTCGTTTATAGCTTCAGTTTTTATATATTGCACAAGTTGCATTTCCCTGCAATATTTTTTAGCTGCAAGTATGCAGCATCTGTCCCTCAGCTGAGGCACGAGACTTGCTCGGTATACAAAAAAAGAAAGCCAACACTTCGCTCGGCTCTGCCCTTCAGCCCCGCCAGCGTGTCGCAATTGGCACGCTCTGTCCGCCTGATAAGCAGCTGATAAGATTACAGCTCGCACACATACATATACACACACACACATACATATATATATGCACATTGGTACTTCTAGATTTATGTACATAAATATGTGTGTGTGTGCGTGCTATTTTTGCTGCTCGCCATAAAACAAAAAGTGGCCGAAATATTTGGAATTAGAAATTAAGGCCAAAACGCAGGCAAACGCAGTAAACAGGCCAATAAATGAACTTCAGTCAGCGGCGCGGCGACGACGTCAATTGCAAATTTATTGCAATTCGATGAAATCGCGAATGTCGAAATTGCATTTGGAAGTGCAAACGTGCGAGAATCGAATCAATCAAATGTCAGCAACTAAATCAGCTCCCCCTCTCTCTCTCTCTCTCTGTTACTCTCACTCTCTCTCCGTCTCTTTCTGACTAAACAGATGATCGATCGATTATGTAAGAGCGCTAATTAGAACGATAGTTAATAAAGCATTTAGTGAAGCCTTTTAACAAATACGAAATGGCAAGTGCGGCTAAACATCTGGAATCTGAACTCAATTAGAAGATAATACATCTGAGGGTAATTCATATTATCCAACTCTGGACCTGATATTAAAAGATTGCACAATAAATAGCTTTTGACAAAAATACTTGGCATACTCAAGATGCTTTTAATCCCAGCCCCAAACCCCTTTTTAAGCCGACTTTATAGATTGCAGATCCATTCAAGTTAGTCGCGTCCCGTCCGGGCGCTTCGCCTGCCCCGCCCCGCCCCAAGTCGATCGAAAATGTGTGTCAAGAATTGTTTATTGCCTTACTAAACATATATGTATATAGATCTATTCTAATTGTTTTGCTTTCAAATAGCCGCAGTTGGTTGTCAAGCGCTAAGGCAATGCCCCCTGCTAGGAACATTTATAAAAGCAACAACTCTCGATGTGCAATGACTCGGAGTTACCCTGTAAATTGTTTAGGCGTGTATCTAGAATGAGTTGAAAGGTAACAAGATCCTAGGATCAGTTTAAAAGGAAGTCTTTCCATCGAGAATATTATCAAAGAAATACAAAATCTTGACTCTTAGACACCCCTTCATTTCTGTGCCCCAGGGCATATTAAAAGTACTTAAAATTTTTGGAAAATCTTAAACAAACTGCACACTCATTAAAAAACAATTTGGCGAAATGAAAGAGCCCGGAAAATATTGTGAGACTTTGACTAATCGCGTAAAGCATAAAAAGGTAAACAGCAAAAAGGTAAACAACGCGCAGTTTCTTTCGATTCGTTTCGCTTTGTTTTTCAGTGCGCTTTTCCCCAGAATTATCGCGTAAACAAAAATTAAGAATCAGCTTCTGCCAGGCAAATGGCTGATAAACTTGATACAAAGTAGCCACAGGCGCTGATAAAGATGCGACATAGTGAAGGGGGCGGAAGGTGGGCGGCAGGTGGGCAGTGGCCGATGAGTTGGCTGCTGCTGCTGCTGCAGGTGGTGAAGGCCACGCAGGCCACAACAAAGCTGAATCAACAGAGACGTGTGACGAAAGCTGTGGCCAACTCTGAGTCATGGCCAACAACAGTTTAGATGCTGTTTGCCGTTTTCATTTAGCAATTCGCATTTCTCATTTCCCAGTTCCCAGTTGCCGGTTTGTTTGCTTGGCCAATTAAGCACTTTGGCCGTCTGGCGATATTTTTGGATCTGGGCACCCGGCCCAGCCCGGCCCGGCCCGGCCCGGCCTTCAACAGTGAATCACGAGCCACTGGGCCAAATTATGCAACATTTCACATGCGCCAAAAGCCATATAAAACGATTTCCTGAATGCGGGCCCAGCACAAAAATGCACAAATGCGCAAGAAGAAGAAGAGCCCTAAGCGCATTACAAGAGAGAATAAAAATCGCAAAAATAGCAACGAGCTGGCGCTGGGATCGAGGGGAGGGGGAAGGGGGGAAGGGGGAAGGGGCTGGCAGACGGAAGTGTGCAACATAACCTTAAACTTGCAATTGCTAAATCAACAATTTCGACCTTCGCCGAAAAGCTTTAGTCTTTCCACAATCGATAAGAACAAACAAATATACGTGCATGTGAGTGTGCGTGTGTGTGTTTGTATGTGTGATATACATATATATATGCATATATGCTTGAGACTCTTGACAGCTTCTGCTACGTCACTGCATTGTGACGTCAGAGTTCGTTAGTTTTTTTTTGGCGCTAACTGTCGCCTTGTATAAATAAAATCGAAACAAAATAAACCTGATGCGCCTATTCTGAAGAGTCACTCGAGACGAGCGAAGAGAGAGAGAGAGAGCGAGAGAGAGAAATGCAGAGAAATATTGGGGGGAGAGGCGTGTATCACGTACTTGGCGAGTGATAAAGAACTGATACAGCTCATCTTGCTGCCCCATTGATTCCGTACATGAGCAATCGGTAATGAATACAGAAGCTAATGAAAACAAACGCTTTCAATGCAATCGACCACTAATCAGAGTCGAGTGGGAACGTGTCCTCAGTGGGAACACGTGAAGTGTGCATGGAAAATTGCAATAATAATCATAACTCATTGTGTTACATATGCTTAAGCTTATGCCAAATTTGTTTTGCAGCTACAGCGATCTGGCAACACCAAAAAGTTGTGTGTGCTTGTTAAGTTGGCTGCGAATCAATGCAATCGACAACTAATCAAGAGTCGAGTGGGAACGTGACCTCAGTAGTGAGAACACGTGAACTGAGCATGGGAAACGGCAAAAATAATAATAATAATCATAACTCATTGTGTTACATATGCTTAGCTTATGGCAAGTTTGATTTGCAGCTACAGCGATCTGGCAACACCAAAAAGTTGTCCGTACTTGTTAAGTTGGCTGCGCTGGACTTCAGTGTTAACCGACGCGTACATTAAAAAGCAATTTGGATTTGAATATGCAAATGTTTAGAGTTTTGCAAAATGTTGTTGTTGATTTGTTATTTTACTTTGCTATGTAAACACATCAGGGTTCTATTTTTATCTTTAATTGTAATAACTAATGAGATACTAGCCGCTCAAGTGTTTGAGCTGATTACAAAACAGTTACACTTCATTTCTGGAATCGCAACAAGCCAAACGTTGAATGCATAATAGCCTCTAGGCGCAGTAATAGGAGAAAAGTGTGGCTGGCGACAGCAATTTAATTGTGATTTAATTTTATAAGCGACAATAAACCATGCTCCGTTGCAAAAATCACAGCAATTGGTGAACAACGCGCTTTTATTATCACAATTAATTTGCATTTACTTGATAAAGTTCGCACAGTAAACGATCGCTAAGAGCAACCGCATTTTGTGAGACTTGATTATAACAATTCAAATGTCTATTTGTATATTATTGAAAGGCTAAAAATGATAGCTTAATAATAATTAATCTGCGCAGGCAAATAAAAGCATAATAAAATACAATACAATTCGGCTTATCTGTTGTAATTAAAATATATTCCCACAGCCAGGTGGGGCTTAGATAAGCGAAAATCTCATTCGGCAGGGGCAATATGATTAATTAATTGTGCCATTGTCTCAGTTTACCCATAAGGAAGTGCAGCCCCTATATGATATTCAATTCTTTGTGATCTGTCTGCCTACTCCGTGATTCGATCCCAGCAGATCGGGCAAAAAAACACCGAGCCAAATTTGAATACTTGGCAAAAGGCAAAAGCAAAATCAAAATTGGCAGCCTGCAACTTTACGCTTAAGTTCAGATTTCGAATTAATGACAAAACTGCCTAAAGAACGACAAAGCTTGCATATCAAATATGAACAAACTGGTTCTCTGCTTGATCTACACATATATATATATATATACATATATATAAATATGCACATAATAAGTAGGTACAAGTAAGTATATATTGAAAACAAAGCAGCTTTTTGAGAGCTATAAATGTTGTTAATTTATATACGACTGAAAGTGCAAGTGTGGAAATCGACAAACAACTCTTCGCGCAGACTTCTTTGGCATTTGTTAATTTATAATTTGAACGCGTGCCAAGAAACTTGGCTAATTTTTGGCTAAAGATGTGTGAAGAGATACAAATAGAATAAAAAATATAAAACCAAAAAAAAAAACTTATTGACAGTTCGCGTGCCAAGGCAATTAACGGACTAGCCGATTAATTGGCTGAGAGGCGCGTCTAGCCAAACCGATAATTAAATCGATAATTAAAAGTGTTTTGGTGTTCGCACAGTGCATGCAAATCATGTAAACCTTTGTGCAAATGCGAATTAGCCGTAGCCGGAGCAGAAACGAACCGAACAGCACAGACTGAAGCGAAATGCAAATGCGCGCGTGCGAATTCGCGTGTCAACGAGAACTGAATGGAACCGACGGCGAAACCAACGCAATAAACACGGGCGAAGTGCGCGTACGCGGCGAGCTTTTCGAACTGAGTGAGCGAGTTTGCGGGCAAGATATAAGGGCGAAGCAGAGCATTGCTGTCAACAACGTTGAAGGGAGGAGCGGCGGCAATGGGAAGCGAGCAGGCAGCAGCACAGGATCGATAGATGGCGCTGTCGTTCCAAGGCTTGTTTACGCAGCGTAAACAAAAAGCGCCACAGTCGGACGCTGATATAAACAAACAGAGGCACATAAACAGTTAGAAGCTGCCGCAGTGCAATTGGATGCATAAACGAAAAAAAAAAAAAAACCGAACGGGTCGATGCCTATGCACATGTGTGGGAGGTGCACTCTTTGCCTGACCTTAAGCGGTTTGACAGTTACAAGTGAAACTGCAGAGAAGCGAACCTTGGAGCAGCAAGGCAAACAGTTGACAGGAGAAAGTGTCGATGGGCGAAGACAAAGAAGCGTAATTCAACTGTTATATAACAATCGGCTGGCGGCTGGCGACTTCCTCCTTGTGCAGGTGAAACCCTGCTGATAATGCCATTGAAACACCAGCATGGGTCGCTGCAGCGATAAGATGACGTTGAACTTGTGCAGCGCGCTAAAAAACTGATGTGAAGACGCGCAGCAGCCGGCAGCGACAGCGCAGCAGCTGACAACAAACATTTGCACAACTGCTTTTGCGTACGCTTTTTTCACGCCGTTTAATTGTTGTTCGACGCACAGCTGCTCTGCCAACTAGACAGCTAGGGATAAGCCACTCACCTCACTGGGCGACATTGATGACATATTCCTTGGTATTTGATGGCCGTTGCACTTTGCACGTTCTGCTTCCACTTGTTCGAAGTGCTCGCTGTGAACGTCAAGCCGCTTATCCTTTGACCTGCTATGCTGTACAATCTATTTCCTGTGGTGCACAATTTTGAATTACAAATGTAAATTATTGTATGTTACATTGCCAACTATATTTGAACAAAATGTTAAGAGTTGAGGCAGTGTTTTTTACCTTACAACTGTGACGTGAGCGGCTGGCCAAAATATACTTGGTATGTTGTTATTGATATTCGGTTAGTTTTGGTATTTAATTGCATCGACAGTGCTATCGATAGCTCACGTTACAGAACGCAACAGCTGTTAGTGTTTAAATATGAACTGCAAGATTTTCATCTGACAAGTCAGTCTAAGAAGTTGCGGCCCTTATTTTTATTTAAATTAATGTTATCAATGAAAACATAAAATAAATATATAAACGAGTATTTCGATTTCGTTGCCAGCTGTTTGTAAAATGATCAATGTTAAGCAACAGAAACTATCGATACAGCCAACTACGATTGGTTTTAGTATTTTTCATTATTTTGGTCTATTTTAGCACATTACTCTTTGGACTGAGCATTTGCAGAGCTTTGAAACAGCTGTTGAGAATAAACAAAGCTAAAATGTTGAAATGTTGCAAATAAAATTAAATGTATAATACCAGATGGCAAAATGTTGTGCTCAGTTAATAAAGGTCAATAAGCTTTTAGCAGCTGAGCTCAAAGAGCAAATGGTTGCGTGCTTGTTAAATAAATGCATTTAATAGATGTGTGATTGACGAACACTGGTGGCCATAATTATAGGCACGGCGCCAGTTGACGCTATCATCAACTGTTGTTTTATATTGGACACTGATAAGCATCTATCTGATACTTTTAAATACACACGCAGCAACGCTTTGCAATTCAGTAAGAGGTTCCCTTTACTGGAGGGCATATCGGCACTACAACAAGAATGCATTTCGGCGTTTTGGGCAGCGGAATTATTGGCTTGACCAGCGCCTTGGAGCTGCAGCAGCAGTTTCCCACGGCGCGGGTTTCGATCATAGCGGATCGCTTCAATGAGGATACCGTTAGCTATGTGGCCGCGGGCATCTTTCGTCCCGGCACCAGCTTCATGGGTCCCACCCAGGAAATTACGCAGTACGTGAGCGACCCCGTGGGGGTCAAATCAATTGAAAGATCTCAACGTCCAATCGTTAATATATGTTTCTTGCAGGCAGTGGATGAGGGATGCATTTAATTACTGGGACGAGCTGCGGCGTTCAACAGAATCGGCCCTGGCTGGCGTCTGCCAACTGTCCGGCTATATATTCTCACGCACCACGCCCTCCGTTGTACGGGTAAGCAGACAGCCGGATAACTAATCAGTTAATCGGTTTCTATTATCGCGTTGTAATTATATAATATAATTGTACTTGTCATTGATAACTGTTTGCCTGGCCAGAATCACTTCATCGAGCAGCTGCTGCCCGTCTACCGACGCGCCACGGAGGATGAGCTGAGACTGTGCCAGGGCGGCTGGAAGTACGGCTCCTTCTTCACGACCTGCCTGACTGAGAGTCGCTTGTTTCTGCCCTATGCCACCAAGAAGTAAGTTGTGCCTAGCTCTGCAGCTGGCCAGATTGATTGATTGATTCTGTTGCCTTGCAGATTCCTGGCGAACGGCGGTCAGGTGTTGCGCCAGCATGTGAGCAACTTCTTCGATTTGCCGCAGGACTTGGACGTGCTGCTCAATTGCACGGGAATGGGCGCCAAGGAGCTGTGCAATGACCAGCACTTGGTGCCCATTCGCGGCCAGGTGCTCAAGGTGCGCGCACCTTGGATTAAAACAGCTTTCTACGGCGATCTGGACACATACGTGCTGCCCGGCTTCGAGACCGTGACCCTGGGCGGTTGCAGACAGTACGACAGCTACAACACCGAGTGGTGCAAGTACGACAGCATGGCCATTAAGGAGCGCTGCTACGATCTGCTGCCCAGCCTGAAGAAGGCGGAAATTGTGCGCGAGTGCGTCGGACTGCGGCCGCATCGGTCTATTGTGCGCGTGGAGCCGGAGCTGCTCACCAATGATCAGGGCCGACGCCTCAAGATTGTGCACAACTATGGACACGGCGGTTATGGTGTGACCACAGCCCCGGGCACCGCCAAATATGCGGTGCAGGTGGTGCGTGATATGCTGGCTGGCAATAGCAAATTGTAGCGTGATTTCAATTGCATTGTAGATTTGTTAAATTGTTGATTATTAAAATGTTTATATGTGCAATCGGTTTTATGTAGAAACTTTGACCCACGCACACTTTTATTTAGCTTTGCTTTCAATTGCACTTGCTGCAATAAATGAATCAAAATTTGTGCTGGCCATAAAAACAAAAACAAGATAAGATTTGCTTATATTCGCAATATTCAAATGTGGCGCGTATCGATACGTACAGTCAGTGTTGGCTAACGTCTGCCGCTTTCTGCCCAGTGCGCAAATGCGCCGCATGAATGGAAAGCTCTTAAGCTTTCGCTCGCCCACACAAACAACGACCCGCCGCTGGGCATCGATTTTCACCACTGGAGCAGAAAGAAGCAGCAGCTGGACAGTTGAAACAGTTTAAATGATGAAAACGTATACAAAACGCTTATATTCGCCGCGTTAGTCAATTCGCCGAAAGCACATCACACACACACACACACACAGGGACATATGCGTAGCTGCAGAAAATTTTTTGCCTCATTCGTGGTCCTGTAAAAGTCGACAAGGACGTGTACAACAGAGCTAAGGAAAATTCTGAGCAAAAAAAAAGGTGAAATTGAGTTGAGAAAAACACTTTGCCTGGCGCCTGCAACTAAATGAATAATTGAATTGAATCGGGCGAGACAAACGCGCGTGAAACGCTGAATAATTGATTGAATAACCCGTAAACAAAAAAGCGCTAAATTCTAACAGCAGGCAGCTGGCAGCGGGCAGCGGAGACTCTAACCCAGTGCCAAGGCTAAACTTTCCCAGTGCTGCACGCCACAGACCCCGAAACCAATAGCCAAACAGGCAGTGCGAAAAAAGAAAAGAAAATAGAGCGAAAAAGCAAACTCGCAGCCACAATATCGATTTGTGTATATGTGTGAAAAATAACAGTAAAGAGCTTACACCCACGCGCGCACGCACACCCACACACACACACAGTCCGCACACGTCAACAAAAACAACAACAGCAGTTGGTCACAGGGAACAGCCGCAGCACTTAAGGAATTACCCCAGGATCTGCAGGCATCCGGCGTAATCCCAGCCCACTCACACACACCCACACACACACACACAGTTACACATAGCCAGCAGCAGCTGCAACAATAAGAAGGAAAAAAACAGCAACAACAAGAACCGTAACAACCTCAAGACTAAGTCACAGTAAGTGCATTTGCCTTAATCGTAACAATACGTATACGCCGCATGGTACTCATGATTTATGCATACACAAGTGTACTTATGCAGACACACACCCACACACATGTATACACACATATGTCCAGCTGCATTTGCTGCTTCGTTAGTTGCCGCAACAACAACAACAACAACTCTTGTCGTATTTTGATATCTGCCTTTATTTTTATGTTTTTGTTTTTGTTTGCCCAACTGGACAACGACAGTGAAAGTTCTCAATGCCAAATGCAAGCAGTAAATGATTATTTCATTGTTGTGGCTTCACAACTGCAGCTGCAACTGCCAGCAATAGCTGTTAACTGTACAGAATAACAATGACAACAAGCAGCACTCAACACGTTAGTTGAAGTCCAACTGCGCGTTTAACAGCTAGTCAATTGCAGACCTGTTCCAAGTTTGACAGCGAATTGTCCGTGTTTTATCATAAATTCAATGATATTATGTCCTTAAAACAACAATAAGATGACGTCAAATGGAAAGCAGTCTGCAAACAAAACTCTTTCAGTGGCAAAGCGTGATATCATCTTAAATGATGATGGATTGCGAAAACATAGTAGGAAAAACTTCTTGAGACATACATATTTAAAAGAGATTTGTTAAGAATTTCTAAAGGCGACGAATACTTAAATTTGAACGCGTTACCCATCCTTTTCAACAAAAATGTTATATATACCTTATTATAAATTATCAGTTTCATTAATTATCAATTTATGTAAACAGCCTAATTGATATAAAAATACGTTAAATATATGATTATACCCCTAGTCCAGCTGTTAATTCAAAAGTGCCTAAATGTTATCGAAAGACTATCGATAAAATATGTAAAAAGAAATCGAGTTTCTTAGCAAATTCCTAAAAGCTTCAATAAAATATTTTGCATGACCAATTGATTTGCGTCATGTCCAGTTGCTGGTTGAACGTGAAAGTTTAAACTGAACACAGCTTTTGTGTCCAAGTTGGACAACATAAAGTGTATCTTTTTCTCTATGGCCAAAACTTTGAATAGCACAAATTTTGATTGAGTTATTTGCCAACTTTTGTGCATAATTGAGCAAATACACACACACACACACACACGCACAGACAGTTAGAAGTATAAATGTGTGTGTGTGTATTTGTGGTTCGATGCCGCAATTCGTTATCAATAATTAAACTAGCCCAAAGGTTATGCTGGCAAATGGCAACAGCTGCTTGAATGTGTTTCACGGGGAGCTGACTCGCAATTTGAAACATGAAATAACATCAACAACAACAACAGGAACAACAACAACGACGAGGTTAAAAAAATCGATAATTAGGGAGCCTGGCAGGGCAGATAAAAAATAAACATGCTCGCATACGCAGCGCGTAGCTCTGATAACAGCCTGCACTTATTTACTTGAGCATTACTGTCGTTGCTTGTCGCTGCCTGTTTGTGCACGTTCATGCCTGTCGTCGTCGTCGTTGCAGTGCGCCTCTCGCCTCAAGAGCCTCTCAACAGCGACCGAACCCTCCCCCGCCCCGCCGCCAGATGGAGCTGTGTCTTTTACCACGGGCCTTGAGGATGACGCGCAAAAGGGAAGAAATCACGTTGCTGCGCAACGTTTGGTTCAGCGGGAAAGGGGGGCTGTGGGTTGTGGTACGGGGTAAAAGGATGTTGTAGTTGACTATACAAACAAATTATCGACACAATGTTGTGTGCGCTGCGTGCACATGAAAAAGTCACTCTTAACTCACAATTTTGAAATAGCTAAGGCCATATTCCCTGTCACCACGACTAACAAGCCCCCCCTTTCCATAATCTCTCTCTCCGCCGCCCGCTAAAGACAAGGCTAAAACTTTTTCAAGGCCAACCTCGAGTTGATTGCTTCGTTGTTAGCCGAGCTGCTCTTTGAAATTTCTTCTTGAGTTGCCAATGACGTGACAGTCATATTAAAAACAGCTCAACTACTCCACGACTCAAAGGCCACAAGAAATATTCATATTTCCAGAGGGAAAAATTCACAAGAATATCGCATTGACAGCCAGCACCTCTCTCGCTCTCGCCCTCTCTCTCGCTCTCATTGCATGTACATATATATTTCTTTATCCTGCAATGACACTTGGCTAATAAAGTCTGCAACAAGCTAAAGAAATCAGCTGCATACCAAGTCTCTCTACTTGCGCCTAGATTTAACAAGATTTCATACATATGTATTGTATATACATTTTGTCTTTACTCACGTTTTGGCATTGTGCATCCATTGCTTTGAAAAAAGTTGAGAAATACAAATTTAACACAAATAGAAAATAAGGCGTTTATGTATGATGTGAGCAGTGCTGGCAAACTGACGTTTGTGCTTATCGATTGTTTCGATAATGCGATATTCGATTGTTTCCTCCTAAATTTGGTAGATATTGGTGCTAAAAGTAAAAAGTAAATAAATTAGTGCGACTTCAGCTTTCTTTAGCTTAATGTCAATAGTTTCTAATGATTCTCAATATATATTTAAAAACTATCGATAGTATCAACAGTGGCCTTCGTGTTGTAGCACTAGTATTCAGCAAAAAATTAAATTGATATTTTACTCAAGAGAAGGGCACATTAGTACGCAATACCAGCTATGTATGTACCAGCAATACACTTGGCAAGCTGCTTGCCGAGCACCGCCACCCGCATCCCCCGCTCCACATGCCCCGCCCCTATCAGACAGCCCACACCCACCAACAAGTCAATGGTTTTGCTTTTAGAAAATATAAACGCAACTTGTTTAATCCACGCACAGACAATTCAAATTCAGTTACTCAAAATGCCCAACAGGTGGCGCTGACGGCGCATTCCGCCTTTCGTTACGACGGCTGGGGGCGCTGCTCCTGCTGGAGGATTTGCTGTGGCCGATTAAACAGAGTTGAAGTGCTCGTAAAAAAATATAAAACAAATCTGCGTGCCGGCTACTCGATCAGCTGAAGCCTGGTGCCAACGCCGACTCCTACCACGCCGAGGCCATCGCCCATGCCGCAGATGCCGACGCCGCTGGGCATTGTCAGCAGCATGTCCTCGCTCTTCTCCAGCTGAAAGTGTCCGTTGCACTTGTTGACGAGGTTGTTGTCGCCCTCGCTGCCGTTGTTGTCCACGTTGCTGCCGATGTTCCGGAAATTGAGGCTGTTGTTGTTGTTGGGGTTGTTGGTGTTGCTGCTGCTGCTGTTGTTGGAGCTAAAGAAGATGATGGAATTTGGACAGCAAGAGGGCAGCGGCTGCTGCTGCTGCTGCTGCTGCTGCTGCTGCTGCGGATCGGCCGAGTCGCGTTTGAGTATTGTAGTGCAGATGCTGGCATTGGAGGTGGTGGTTATGGTCGTGGTGGTGTCCAGTGTCTCGACCAACTGCCCCTCATCATCGGAACTGACCGCGGTGGGCTGCACCTTGAGCTGCTGCTGCATCTGCTGCTGTTGTTGCTGCTGTTGTTGTTGCTGCTGCAGCTGTTGCATCTGTTTTTGCAGCTGCTCCTGTTCCTGCTGCGACTGCTCCTGCTCGTCCTCAATTTCCTGCTGCTGCTGCTGCAACAGCTCCAGGCGCATGCGAGCCAGCTGTGTGGCATCGTAGGGACAGAAATAGTTGAGATTTATGATGCGATTGCCGAGCTGCTGGACGGGACGCGAGTTGCGTGCGATAGGCGTGATGCCGTCGGCGCTGAGCAGCTGGCGAAAGTGGCGCAGCTGGAAGTCGCTGATGGCCAGGGACTCGGGAAAGAGGAACCACTCGGTGCCCTGGTAGCAGGGCGGCTGCGTCAACGAGCCACCGTAGCTATAGAAACCCGTGCGAAACGGATAAATCAAATAGGAGAGCGGAAAAGGCGCAATGTGGACACGCTTGCCGGGCTGCTGCACCAGCTTGAGATTCTGCATGAGCGGATCCAGGAACGGATTGTGAGCGGACAGCTCAAAGACATAGGCAATCATGAGCAGATCGTAGCTGCTGGTGCAGCTCCGTGGAACTGCGGCGCCCGTGCGATGCAGCACCTGCATCTCCAGCGGGAACTTGCGATGATTCAGCGTATGCTCGGAGCCCTCGCTGTTCGACCAGCCCCAATGGAAGCACAGCTCCACAAAGGTATAGCTGGCCAGCAGATCCGCCCCGCTGATGGTCGGCACATTGCTGCGAAACTGGGCGCGCAGCAGCAGCGTCTGGCCCGTGTTCTCCAGCACAATGCTGGCCGGCAGCTCGTCATAATGATTCCAGTTGAGCAGCTCGCGTATGGCCAGACGCTGCACCACCTGCTCATCGATATTGACGGGGCTCTGGTTGTTTCCGGCCTGTGTCCAGGTGTGCGGTCCCTGCTGCATGGTGTAGTCAAAGCCGTTGCTGCCGTTGCTGCTGCTGCTGCTAGCGCTGCGGGCCACGCCCTTTACGCCCTTGCGTGAGAGAAAGGAGAAAGTGTAGAGCTTGCTAAAGCCCTGGACACGTTCGCGCAGCTCCTGGCCAAGCTCCTTGCGCAGCTGCTCGTCGGCCTGGTTAAAGAAACTCAACAGCAAACAGAGCCCGGTGGTGAGGAGCGGATGCTGCCAAGCCTGACCCAGCAGCAGGCAGACAGCCTGCGCCAGCCAGCTGACGAGCATGCCCAGCGTTGTATCAAACATGTTACGAAGGAATTGTGGACGTGGAGACGTCCTTAAGTGGATGCGAAACGAAACGAGCAAACGATAAACGTAAAACCAATGCGCGCTGTTCAATTTGAAATTAAGCCTGATTTTGAATGTATTTTTTTTTTTAGATATATATTCAAACTGAAGTCGAGCAATTGCTGCTAGTGTTTAACTGTTGCTGGGAATAATGATCTGTTGTGCTCGATATTACAAAAAAATATATAAATAGAATAAGTCCAGGCTAAGCTGATCCCACACGAAAAACCTAATCGAGTCTCCTTGTCTCCCTCCATTCCAGCCCACAATCATGGCTGGCGGTGGTGATCCCAAGTGGCAAAAGGATGCGGCCGATCAGAACTTTGACTACATGTTCAAGCTGCTCATCATCGGCAACTCGAGCGTCGGCAAGACCAGCTTCCTATTTCGCTACGCGGACGACAGCTTCACATCGGCCTTTGTCTCCACCGTGGGCATTGACTTCAAGGTCAAGACGGTTTTCCGCCACGACAAGCGCGTCAAGCTTCAGATTTGGGTAAGTCAGGCAAAGCTTCATCTCGACTAAGTCGAAATACATGCGTTGCGAGTGTTGCATAAATGTAAATGGAATTTTAGCTGCCTTCTTTTTAGTCGAGCTCGTGGCATTTCTGATCCTATTATATAAACTATATCCAAACAGATGACAGCAGATGTCTTTTAGCTAGCCGAAATCAGACCCAAATTAAGGTTTTATTTTGAGTTCAGCTTCCAAATAGAAATTGTAGCAAAACTGATTGAATCTTGTTTTTAGTCAAGTTAACAGGGAATGATCCTTGACTTCGTCTCATTTAAGCTTTAGCTAAGCCAACCTCTTTAGCCAGGCGAAAAGCTTTAAATACCTTTCAATTAATTATAGGCCTCTCTACAATTTCTAAGAATAGTTTTTTTTAAGCTCAAAGCTGCCTCTAATGAACTTAATTGCATTTCTAAATACACAGCTCTTCCCCCGCAGAGCTATTTACCTCACAGACAGCACAATAGGCCTGGCTATATACCTGGTCTCAAACTGTGAAGCCTAGGGACAGCAAATAATTTAATTAATTGCAGATAAACTCAATTAATAAACCAAAAATTGCAAATTCCATAGAAAGCCTGTCAAACGTTACGTATACTCAATATAAAATGCACAGCAAAGGCTTGCAAAAAAGTGTAGCATACTTTTATGGTCTGCACAAATTTGTGGCACATTTCTGTGGACTCGAGAAATTTGCCAGCCATTTAGGGATGTGACAAGTTTGTTCACAGTTAACACCCTCCCCTCATCTCACACACACACACACATACACAGAGAGAAGCAGCCATATTGATTGCTGAGCTGTGTCTATTTTGGCATCAATGTCATTGAGCGGAAGGCTCGCTGCACGGGGCAACAAGTTTCACAGGTGAAGTGTTCTCAGACGACCACCACAATTCGCCTGTATAGGTGTGAGGGTGTGTGTGGGTGTGTGTGGGTGTGTGTGTGTGTGTGTGTGGGCAGCACTAATTGCGTTTGCGTATTATGCACATGACACGTATGTAAAACATCGCACATAGACTTGCCTCAGCTTACTGACCACAAACCCTGCTTTCATATGTGTGTGTGTGTGTCGTTTTGGCCAACAGGATACGGCTGGGCAGGAGCGTTACCGCACCATTACCACAGCCTACTACCGCGGCGCCATGGGTTTCATTCTGATGTATGATGTCACCAATGAGGACAGCTTCAACTCTGTGCAGGACTGGTATGTAAAACCCAGACACACTCACAGTGTGTCTGCCTCTGTCTGTGTGTGTGTGTATGTTTAATGTAATTATTGTATTTGTTGTTTAGGGTGACACAAATCAAAACGTATTCGTGGGACAACGCTCAGGTCATATTGGTGGGCAACAAATGCGACATGGAGGACCAGCGCGTAATCAGCTTCGAGCGCGGTCGCCAATTGGCCGATCAGCTGGGCGTCGAGTTCTTCGAGACATCGGCCAAGGAGAATGTGAATGTTAAGGCAAGTCGATATCCCTCTACATATATATAGTATATATAGAGTATATATCCATTATAATCTGTTTTATTATTTGACAGGCTGTTTTCGAGCGCTTGGTCGATATTATATGCGACAAGATGTCCGAGAGCCTGGACGCGGATCCCACGTTAGTCGGCGGCACACAGAAGGGGCAGCGCTTGACGGACCCGACGCAGGGCACGCCCAATACCAATTGTAATTGTTAAACACGACACATGTAGCCGATGTTATAGACAAACTAACTAGCCTATATACGACACTTACACACTCACACACACACACACACACACACACACACACACACACACATACACTCCCATAACACGCAGTCAGTTACAATTTGAAGTTAGCAAAGGTTTATAATCGCAGAGAAATGCAAAACCTTTAGGCAAAAGAACATAATTAATATATATACACATATGTATATTATATTATAATTATATTATAATATTATATTTATAAATGATTTGCGTTGTCGCTCCGTGTAAATGTCAAGTTAATATGTGCATGAATACTTATATTAATCAGTGTTTCAGTCATTTGTTGAACTTGTATTGGGCATTAGAGCAAAGAATTTACGAAAGAATTACGGATCGAAGTGAAACCAAATCGGAATACTGCATAATTTATGCAAATGAATAATACGAAATGTTTGTTTTCAGTGTGCTTCGAAAGATGTTGCTAATTTGTCAATGTGTTGTGTGTAAATTGATAACGATACCGATTACGATACCGATAACGATAACAATTACGATAATGTTAACGATAACAATAACTCATGTCTAAGTGCAAAATGCAAATGTTGCATTCAGTTATGCACTTATTAAATATGCACATTTTGTGCTGTATTTTCCTCGAATTTTCCATTTCCATGTCCTCTTCGTTTTTCTTTCCTCCTAAGCTTAACTTCGATTTCTAAACAGTATTTCATACATTTGATTCGTAACGTACTTTTAGCTAAGCAAACTCTTGAATGTTTTTTAATGTACATACGCTGGCAGCAAGTTTACCGTTAGAGAAAATATGCTTGGAAAACTTTTGAACAATGAAAATTGTTCAAAAGGAAAGGACAAGCGAAATAGCAGCAAAAACGCACAAAGCTAGCGAATCGGTGAAATTAAACATAAATATACACATGCATACATATAAACAGTATCTATTATCTAACTAGTACACACACACTTACACACACACACACACACACATAAAAAGGCTCTAGTCAAAGGTCATTATTATAATTATAATTATTATTATGTATGTATGTATTTATGTAGTGAAATGAACAATTTTAATGTGTTGCATATTATAAATGGAAATTATACATATATAAATATACATATATACCACATATATATATAAAAGAAAATGAAGAAAAGAAAACCCTCAACCGAACGGCATCAAATTTTTGATTTATTGATTTCCTTTTTAAAGAGAAAATATCTTGTTTTCAAGCAGATCTGAAGAGCTGTTAGCTAGTTGGTTAGCTGAGCATATGCCCTTTGTGGCCAAGTCTGACAATAAACGATTGCAAAAAATATGCTTTACGAAAAGTGGAAAAAGTGGAAAACTGCAAACATTTTCTCAACGCACAAAGTTATGATTTTCTTTCGTTTTGATCTCTATTTGCATTTTCAGCTAATTAACAAATTGACAATTAAGAATTGAACCCACCGTGCGAGACTGCACAGTGCAACAAAACACAGAGAAATCGGTGCATTTAATTTAAATTAACTACACTCAACTAAACTTCTATTTTGCTATGCACACAAAATAAAGTTTTCGTTTTTGAATAATCTTTGAAAGGAAAGGCCGTGTTTTAATTTAATGGAAAAAAAAACAACTTGAAATTGAGAAATTCTTAAGCTGCCTTCGCAACAATTGAATAAATTAATTGAATGCCAGCTGACTTTGAGATATGATTATATATTATTATATTATTATGCATGTATAAATAATGAAAAACAAATTTGTATAGCTAAAAGAAAAAGAAAAACCAAACAAACGCTGAAATATATATGATATTTGAAGAAATTGCTCGTAATTGCAGAGTTTCACTTGAAATTAATTAAAGGCATATCGCTGTATTATAAATACCCCCCAAAAGATGCACAACGAGACGCATAGCAAGATATACTTATATCGGTTGGATACAGCATATTGTATTTGCATAAATTGGAGAATAAAACGATGAATGCCTTTTGGAGAACGTTTTTGTTCGTTTGAGATTTGGCATTTTCAACTGTTTGTAATATAATCATAACAATGGCATTATATGTATACCCTATACGATTATTGTATTGTATTGTATGTGCTTATAACCCAAACAAAAACAAAAACAAAACAAAAGAAAAACATTGTTAAAACACATAACTAAAGCAGAAACTTGCGCTACATTGTTGTCATTTATTATAAATTATAGAAGAAAAATAATACAATAACATGAACTATAGCCGAGTGTACTCAAAATAAAATAAAACAAACATTATTTCGTCATATTCAACATTATTTGGCAACTACCAGAAATAATAGTATTTAAAAAAAAAGTATGAACATTATAATGCCCTATTAGAAAATGTATACAACAAATAAATTAATCCAATGATGTTTTTTAAATGTATATGTATGTATGTTAATTGCAGCTGCATACTTTGTGCATACACACACACACACACACACACACATACACTCATACACACATACACTTATATTTGAATTATTGTATTCCCATATTTCAATATGCAAAGCCCATACACACAATATATACAACAAATATGCACGCATAAAAATACATATATGTGTATGTATGCATACACATACATACACTTACATGTATGTATGTGTTTGTGTATTGGATCTATTCAACTGACAGACAACAACAAATACATATATTTCCAACTGAGAAAATGTAATGAACTATTTATTCTTGTACCTTGGTACATAAATGATAACAAATAACAATAATGAATAATATTGAAATTATTAACATGAATAAAGGTATAAATTCAAAATATGATGAAAAAAAAAAAAACAAACTAAACACATTTTGTATTATTTCTGTGAAAATTTAGACTGTAGAGCAAGGCTTAGTTTTTCCATATTTACTTGGTTCTTGCCTGGAATTTGGGAAAAGCATTTATGATAGAAAAAACACATATTTGCATTTGCATTTTTCAAATATAATTTACACATTTTATTTAAATACTCTGACGCGTTCGTATTTCGAGATACTTGCATATTAATGTACATTTAAATATATCAATTCACGTATATATTATTATTTAAGTTTGCAATCTCAAACAATGGCATAACTTACTTCAGGCTGAATATCAGAGCTGTTGTTGGAATTTATGAGCAGGGAGAAGTGAAAGGATAAGCCAAGAGCGAGAGAGAGAGTATCAAAAAAGGGAGAAGCTGGAATATTCTTGTGAGTTTCATTTCCATTCCCATAATCATATCTCTACAATTTTACCAGGCCATAAATAAGCGTTTCTTGCTGCGCTTTTACTTCAAATTATGCTGATCGCTTCTCTCTCTCTAAAAATTTACTTTTTCTGCACTTCACTTCTCTTGGCCTTGTGTGCATTTAAATACATCAATTCACATTAATTTTATTATTTAAGTTTGCAATCTCAAACAATGGCATTACTAACTTCAGGCTGAATTTCAGAGCAGCCGCGAGAAGCGAATAGAGAAGCCACTCGCCCATGAATTTGGTTTAATTAGGTTGTTGTGGGAGTTGATACGACGAGTGGGAGTGAGATAAAGAGAGAAAAAATAATAAAGCTTAAACATTTAAGTTTAAAGGAAAGATATTTGGTTGAATTTTCTTTTGGGTTTTACTTCACATTATGTTGTTCGCTTCTCTCTCTGAGCTCCTCCCATTTTCTCTTAATAAATTCAATCACTTTTCGCTGCACTTCACTTCTCTTGGCCTTGTGTGCATTTTATTGGAAAATGATAGTTAAGAATTTGATGTATGCAGCTTAAATTGATTTATTTTGGTATTTTAGCCACACATTCTGCAATTTCGTACGCCATTTAATATTAAAATTCCATACACAGCAGCTTATAAATTATTTGTAATTCTCGCACAGTTTGCAGATTGCAACAGACACAAAACTGTTCTAGCTACATTTATTAAATATGTGTCGAGTATTCGTATATATATATATAGACATTTACTGCTGGATATGTTTAGCTGTGTGTGTGTGTGTGTGTATGTGTGTGTGTGTGTGTAGCTCTATAATTTCATATGTGTGTATATTTATTTATTTAATATTTTTTAAATAGATTTCTTGTTCATAGTGCGTAGTATTTATGCGCTTTACACTCGTATTTTTGTACACATTTTTATTGTACAATTTCTCATTTGTTTAGACAGGCGTGCTTGATTTTGCGGGAAAGCGGGAGGCTGGCGTTTATCCAATAAATGCATTTAATTAAAATTCTCGTTTGAAATGTGGCTAAAATGTTCAATTTTCAACTAAATGGCAACGTGTGCAAATTATTTATAATTCCACGTGGCATATTTTCGCATTCCGATGCGCTGAATTTCAACTAATTTGGCAAAATAAGCTCTAGAGTTAATTATGAGGCACGTGACTTTTTCATATGTATTTTCTAACTGTGCGAAATCAGAATACAGAAAAAAAAGGGATGCAAAAATGTGAAATTATTTCATGTAAGAGCAAATATCACTTCTAGTCGCTAGTGCTCGACTAGTTGATACCCTGTACCGCGGACAGTTGCAAAGCATTTCTTTCTTTCTTACTTATCAAAATCAAATCTTCGAGTATTTGATTTGCATTTTGTTGGGTTTACAAAAGATAAGCGGCATATCAAAAGATAATAGTTTTAGGCAGATTTAAGCGATCCCATTTACCGATTTTGATGTTCATAGCTCCTATATCCTCTGAGATCCATGGGCTCAAGCAGACAAAATGGACAGGTATGCAAAAAAGAAAAACAATTATATTATACTATTGTGGCTTATCTAGATGCTTAACTAATATTTGTATATTTATTTATCAATGTCGTCTTGCACAACTTGCAGATACCCTTACTGTTCATTTGCTGGGTACAGGGTATACAAAACTAGCCTTAAATGCATTTGATTAGTTCATGCAGACGAACAAGCGTTACGTCCGCTGAATATACATAAATATTTTACACCGCGAGATTTATTATCTATAGCAGAACTCTTAAATACCCTGGCTAAAACATTTCTATAGCTGCAGGGTAGACAAATTTGACTTAAATGCCTAACATTTGTGGGTGTTCGAGTGTGTGTGTGTGTGTGTTTGTGTGTGTGTTGAGCATGTTTACGCAATTCTTAACTGTAAGACATACCAAATATAATGCATAAAATCAGTCTGAGTTTTATTTAATACGTTAAGTATACGTAAGTTAATGTATGTATTATACACATAGAGCTAAGTAAATGCATAAATTATTAGCTAACCTTTTGTTGATAATATATATAATGTATAAATTAAATTACAAATCTGCAAGTTTTGCCATTTGTTGTTGCTTGCATAAATTAATTAAATGCTAAAAAATATGTATATGTATATTTATATGTATGTAAGTGTAAATACCTATGTATGTGTGTGTATAGCTGCTTATTGCGGTCCAAGTTTGTCTTATGGTATGTACAGGATTTATAAATGCAGCACACAATCTACTTGAGTGTGTGTGTGTGTGTGTGTGTGAGTGTGTGTGTGTGAGTCTGTGTATGTCTGTGTGTGGCCAGCGATATATTATTTAAATTTTCAATTTAAATTTAAAGCACAAACTCTTAAAAATTAAACATTTAAATATTTGTTTGCCTTTTGAATTGCGGCTTGCGTCGAATTGTTGCAAACTGATTTGCAGCTTGTTGCCGCTGTTGCAGTTGCAGCTGCAGTCTCTGCTGCTGCTGCTGCTGCTGCTTCTGTTGCAGTTGCCTCTTTGCAGTCGTCAGTCGTCACACTGTGGTCTCATCATCATCAATATTCCGCCTGTTCAGTCGAAAAGAATTTGCACGTGTTTGTCATTTAATAAAATAGTCAATTGCATTATATTAATATTTGAAATATAAGTATATGTATGAACAACAGCTAAATTACGTTATATAAACATGCGATTAAAAATTGAAATAGGCTTAAATATATACGATATTTATATATTTATTATATTAACTAATAGCATGCCAAAAGCCTCAATCAATTTAATTGCATTCCATTTCATGTTTATTTTTTTTGGCCAAAAGAATAAATTAGTTTTTATGCACAGAAAAAAATGAAAACTAATATGAAAAATATGCAAAAGTACGTGATGTGTGCGTTTGTGTGTTAAATGTTATTTATATATAGAATGTGTGTGTGTGTGTGTGTATGTGTATGGGTGTGTGTGTCTCATCTATTTAACTGAATTCATGTTTAATTCATTGCCGACAGCTGCTGGCTAGTTTCATAAATTATAATAAGCTAGTTATGTGTATGAATATATGCTAAACTGAATTTTGTCAGCTAAATTTTTATGTTAAATCCAATAAAAATGGGTTGAAAATTAAGAGATTAACTATTCTGATATTTTTTTTTATAGGTACTTTAATTTTTGTTATATCCTTGCAGAAGACAGTTTTGAATAAATGTAATATCACTCATTAAATTCTATGTCAAATAGTTTTATGTTCAGACTCAAAAATACATTCTTAAAATTTGTCGAAATTTGGGATTAAGAGAGAAAATGTCAGAAATACTTGAATCGGACAAAAACTTAATTTGCTACCAATTAAATTTATTTTATTTTAATTCACAGCACCAACAGAAAATTTTGCTTTAAGATCAGTTAACTTTTTCCCCTTTATTATTAATCAACAAAAATTAAAAGAATCTCCCAATAAACTACCTTAATACCTTCTGCAAGAATAATTAAACTTCGACGGTGCAAAGTTTCTGTTCATGGATTTAAATCAAATTTCTATTTAAGACTCATATTACGTATACGCCTAGTTAATACGCAATTCTAGCCATTATTTGGAGTTTAATTATATTATTTATTTGACAGCTGTGGTTGACTGTTTTAGCTGGTGCAATCTCTAGTTTTTTGGGTTTAATTATTAATTTAATTAATTATGTACATATCCTGATACCATATTGTTAGCGACCAAGGATAATGTTGCCTCTGTTGCCTGCGATGCAGCCAAAAAATGTCGAACTGTGAAAATGTTTACATAGTATTTGTTGTTGTTGTTGTTGTTGTGTTTTTCTTTGTGTTGATTGTTATTGTTGCAAGTAAATGAATTTCAATGATTGATGATGCCACATACTTATGTTAAACAAATATTACAAAACGGATTTTTGGTTTTTCGATTGTTGTGGAAAATTAAATGCATTCAAAATACAAAATCCAAACCAAAAACACAAACAAATAAATCAATAAATCGAATGCAAAAGCAAATAAACAATTTAATTCTATTTACACTGCAAATATAATAACAATGTTGTTTTTTTGTACTCAAAGCAAATGTATTTACATTTGTTTTCGAATTTAATTGAGCGCAGCCAAATTTTTGAATTTTACTTATATTTATTTACACGCGATAAATAAAAGACAAAAATTGATAGGTTGCGTGTAATGTGCAATTAAATTAGAATTAAATAGACAACAAAAAAAAGAGTAACACAACGGAAATTCAATTTTATTTACAACCACAGAAAGGAAAAAAAAAGCAGAACGGAAATGCGAATAGAAAAGAAAATGAGAATGTGAGACTTTGTGATACGAATGATAGTTGAAAATATGGAAAATGCATTTCGTTGTGGTTTACCTCAGAGCTGTAGAGTTGTTGTTGTTGTTGTAGTTGTTGCGATTTGTCAGTGTGGTTCGTTGTTGTTTTGTTTTTGTTCATTGTTTCGAATTGGTTTTTGTTTAAGCAAGACCCAATTGGCCGCCATTGTTGTGCAATGCGTGTGTGTGAGTGTACATGTGTGTGTGTGTGTTAGTGTGTGTGTGTAGTGTATCAGTTGTTGTTGTTTGTTAACAAAGCGCAAAGCGGGAGAGAGCAAGTTGAAGAGAATAGAAGTGAAAGATAGTCAAATTAGATTTGCTTCAAACGTTCCCAGGACCAGCTGAAAGTTTCAAATATAAGTGTGTGCGTGTGTGTGTGCGCGTGTGTGTGTGTGTGCGCATCAAAATGGTTGAGTTTTGGGATCATATTCATTTGCATTGTTTGTAGTGTTCATTGTTGTTTTGATAAACGCATGGGAGCAGGGGGGAGGGAAAAAAAACAAGGAATAGTTTTTTAGAGATATGTTTTTCTTTTTTGTAGATTTTGTTATTGTTTGTAAGTGTGTGTGTGTGTGTGTGGTTTGTATGCCATAAAGCAAAGAGAATTATAAACAAAAGAGCACAGATTAAAACTGGAATAAAAGAAGAAACAAAACGCAAAGAAAGCTCAACTGGAAACTAAACGAAATGAAAAAACGAATCGCACAAATTGCTAGACAAATGCGAATGCGAATATGAATACGGGTATCAGTTTTGAGTATGGGTATCGGTATGAGTATGAGTACAAGTTTGAGAATGAGTTTGAGTATGAGTACTTGGACCAAATGAAATTGTATAGAAACGGGTAATGTAACTGAAACTGGATTGTACAACGAGTACAAAGCGTATTTGTGGGCTAATTACGAGTGTGGACTACCAGAACCCGCAACAAAGAGCAACTCTCGTTATAAAGGACACATCGAAACGGAAACGGAAACGGCAACGGCCAAGTTAACGGTAACCAAAACCATAAGCGAAAAGTAAAAATGAACCGAAATGAAAAGAGACAGAAAAGCAGTGTAAGGCCAGGGATTACTCACTCAGTGTCCGTAATGCTGGCCAGCGGGCCGAGCGGCTGCATCGGTGCCACCATGTTCGAGGGCGGGGAGGAGGCGCGCGAGCTGTGCCTGGAGCTGCCACCGACGCCCACGACGCCGCCGGCAAGCGTGTGTCGCGCCAGGAGGCCCGGATTGTTAATGTCGTTGACGAGTGCCGCATGCGGATGCATCAGATGCAGCTGCTGGGAGCCGTGCAGCGACGGCGGCTGCGCATGGCCAGCGCTCAGCTTGCGCGCCTGCTGCTGCAGATGATCCTCCTCAGCGGTGTACGGAAAATGATAGCCATTCTTGTCCGAGCCCTCCGACAAACGATCCGAGTGCGTCTGCTGCTGCTGCTGCTGCGCCAGCTGCTGCTGCTGCTGCTGGTAGTCGCTCTTCAGCAGCGAGTGCACCGAGTGCAGCGAGTCCGTGGCAAAGGCGGGCTGACGCTTCAGGCTGTAGTGGCCATCGCGTGAGCCATAGATGTCGGGCGTAATGCGATCCTTGGACAGATACGGCGATTCGGATTTGGCGCCCAGGTAGCCGCTGCCCAGCGTGCGCTGCTTGTCGTAGATGTTGTCGCTCAGATAGGCCGCATCCGGATGGAAGCTGCGCAGATGGCCAATGGTCTGCGAGCCACTGGCGCCAGCACCGCCGCCCGGATAGTCCTTCTCGCTGCCATAATGACTGGGCGGCTTGTAGGAGCCATACTTATCGGGATAATCGGTGCGGCGGCCGTACAGACTGTCCTCGTAGCCATCGCGAGCATCGCGTATGTTCTCCAGAATGGAGGGCGTCATGTTGATCTTGTTGTGGTGCTGCTGCATGTAGCTGGTGTCGGTGAGATCGGGATTGGGCAGCGGATTCGGCGAAATGGTCATCTTCTGGCCATGCACGTGCTCATTGTCGGAGCCCGTGTCCTGCGACCAGCGTCCAATGTTCGGCGGCGACTGCAGATACGCGTCCGGCAGCTGGCTGGACCAGCGTGGCGCGTACACGGGCTTGTTGACGCTGGGGAAGAGCTGTGGGCTCTGCACCACATTCAGCTCCGGCGGCGTTGTCGCCTGCACATGCTCCGTGATGTTGGGCAGATAAGCGGGCGTGGCACTTACGGCCGTGCTGCGGTGTGTGCCGGAAGAGCGCGCCGTGCGGGACTCATCGTCGTCGCTAGAATGACTCGAGGCCAGCTCCAGTGAGCGTCCGTCTGTTTCGGAGCCGGAATCGGAGTCCTTGCGCTGTCGACGCGACTTCTCCTCGCCGCGACTGCGTCCCGTTGTGGAGGATTCAAAGCCACGCAGAAAACTGGGCGCATCGCTGGCCGAGTTGTAGTTGGAGGTCGATGTGGAAGTCTGCCGCAGCTGCCCGTCGCTGTACGGACTGGAGCTGGTCTTGGCGGTGCTGCGCGATGTGGTGCTGGAGGCGCTGATGCCTATATTACGCCGAGCCGTATCGTAGTTGCTCGCCAGGAAGTTGTTGGGCCTTGCCGCGCCGTTAACGTTGTGCGAACTATTGCTAACCACCATGGAAGAGTCCAGCAGCGGCACCTTGCGGCCCATGCAGCGCAGGCAGGTGCGCTGCAGATTCTCCCGCACTCGCTTGTTGATGATGCAGTAGCCAATGAGGCAGAAGAGCGCGTGCAACAGCACGACCCCGGAGAGCAGCAAACTCAGCAGCTGCGAGTGCTCCGAGGCGGCGAGCACAGCCAGCACCCACATGACGCCCATGAGAGGCAGCGAAACCACCGAAAGCCAGAGCAGAGTGCGTAGATTGCCAAAGCCCAGGACATGATCCTTGAGCGTAAAGGCCGCCTTCACCGAAACGAAGAGTATCAATAGATTCACCACCGACATGCCAGCTATGGGACCCACCAGCCACCAGACGACGGGCTCATAAACGGATAACCAGCAGCTGTAAAAGTAAAGTTGAGAAAGGATGAGATTAATGTTGAGCAGAGTTGGAGTTCAATTGAATTGACTTGTTGAGAATCGCAAAGAAAGGCGATATGTTCAATTGATATCGATAAAGAGAGAAAAGCAGTGAGAGAGAGATGAAAGGAAGAGTGACTTTAAATCTACTTGATCTACTAAAAGGTAGAGGAAATTTGGGACAAATGGGGTTCTATTAAGAAGAAATAATAGATTAGTTATATCGATACTCACAATAAACTATTTCCATACTCATGCGCTCGGACGCCGACGGAGAGACCGACAACAACAGCAGGCGCACCGTAGCCCATGGCAAAGTAGAAGCCCATTGGACCATGATTAATATCGCGCATTTCGGTGAGCATGCGATAGAGATGCACGCAGTCGACCGTTGTCCACGCGAACGCAGCCAGCCAGAAGTAGTGCAGGCAGATGGCAATCAGTTTGCAGGGGAACTCGTTCTCCAGGAGATTACGCCTCGACTGCATGCCCACAAAGAAGAGTAGCTCGGCGCAGAAGACGCAGAGCACAATGTTCTGGTGAATTGTATTCGAGTTGGTCTGTTGGCCGCGCAACAGGGCCAAGGCAAGCAGCACGCCCAGCAACAGGGGCAGGGATACCATGAAAGCCGAGTACGAGGTGATCTGTACGAGGAGCGAAGGTTCGGGTATGTCCTCCGGATCAATAATGTCCACGATGACCGCGTAGTTGGAGATGTGCGTGCAGCTGCAGTTGATCAAAATGGGCAGATGCGAGACCTGAGCAAAGTCACCATCGAAGTCGGGTATTTCGGTTTGACAACCGAGTCGGGTCCACTGATTGGTGAAGGAGTTCCAGCGCACGCACTGCGGATTGGAGCGTGGCCCAAAGCGAGCTGCGTCCATGTCCAGCCACATCTGCAACTTGATGGGCTGCGAGAGATGCGGCGAGCCGAGCGAACGATAGACCATGTGCTGAGGCTTCTGCAGCTGCTCGGAGGGATAGATGACCTCCACCTGACGCTTGACCAGCCTGCGATCCCGATAGATGGCCTCATTCTCGCCCTTGGACTGCTCACTGCTGTCCGGATTTCCCTCATAGTTGGGATTCAACTGTTCGGGTGAGTCAACGCTTAGCTCCTCGCCAGAGTTGCCATGGAACTCAATGTCATCGAGATTAAGCCTTATGTGCGGATCTTCTATTTCCACAGCCTCATTGCTATTCGCCTCCTGTTGCTCCACACTTGCTGGCGGTGGAATCTCGTGAGCTGTGATGCGTATGTCCTCGATTTGCTGCTCGCTGCTGCTGGTTGGAGCCTTGGGCACGTCAAAGACCTCGACAAACTGCTGCTCCGTGCTGCCAGAGCCAGAGCGAATACTGCTCGAGCTGATTGAGGAAACTCCAGATGATGAGGAGGATGTAGAGCCCGAGGAGCCAGAGGATGCGGCTGCTGAGGATATTTTACGTGAGGGAATCTCCAGACGCTGCTGTTCCCGCTCCGCTGATGGCACCAGTATCTGTAGCGATAGAATGGGCGTGGCCAGTTCAACATCAACGCCCCAGCGACGTGTGATGGTCTCATCATACAGATCCGGCAGCAGCTGGCCCACATCCTTGTACTGCGCATAGGCCACAATGGCGCGATAGTCGTTGCCGCGACTGCCCTGGGTTACTTCATCGCTCTCCGGCGGCGTTATGCCCAGCATTTCGAGCGGCACCAGCACCTTGGAATGCTTATCGAACTTGTGCTTATCGAGAATGTAATTGTTGTACTTGGGAAAACTGATGACCGGCTTCTGTTTGGCCGAGTGCTGCAGGAAGCCACTTGTGTCCGGCAGCACGACGCTCTCCGTGGTGAAGGCATTGGGCTTGAGATACTTGGTCTTGTGGTACTCGCTGAGCTGTTCCGGCTCGTAGCCGAACAGCGACTCGGTGGTGACGATGTCCAGACCCAGCACCATATTGCGCTGCACAATCTCAAAGGGGTTCGTGTAGGTGTCGTGCTGGGAGCGTGCCAGGACGACCATGTACTTGTTGAACGCATCCACGAGATCGTCGGGTCCGCGTTGGATCAGCTCCGTGGCCCGCTTCCATTCGGCATCGTATTTGCGATCCAGAATTACACTCGCAGCATCTACTAGATTCTTGATGAAGTACTTGTCCTGGCTGTGCGTCAAATTGAGGCCGCTTTGCATAAGCTCGTAGTTAATCAACTCCTGGAGTATGCCTTCCGTGACCAAGAGATCGGCGCCATAGAGACGATCATGCGAGAATTTAAGCTCATCGGACAGATAGTCCATGTCCAGCTCATGCGACCAGACGGAGCCGCCGGCATTCAACAGGAACGAGGATTCCATTTTGTATCTTCTGTTGTGCCTTGGCGCTGGCGGCTTAGTAACTGCGCTGCGGTCCACAGTCTCGCAGGCGTGCTGCAGCTGTTCGGCCATTTTGATGGCCACAAACGAGTTGAGCTCCAGCTCAAGTTTCTCGAGCTGTGACAACTGCCGGCGCAGCTCCACAAACGGCTCCGAGCTGCAGTTGTACATATCTGGTGTGCTCCAGCTGCCCGTTTGGCTGTCGCAGCTCCGTTGACCCTTGCCGCGAGCCGGCAGCGGACAGTTCTCGACGGTCACACTGCCCAGCGGTGTGCGAGGCCACCAAATGCCGGCAGCAAAAGAGCGCGGACAGGCATCGTAGACAACCTCACAACCATTGAGCGTAACCTCCGCATAGGGATTCGAGCAGGAGTCACAGCGCCGCCCGATGACACCCTCGCGGCACTCGCACTGGCCCGTCAGCCGGTTGCAGGCGCTATTGAAGCTGCCTATGGAGTAGCAATCGCAGGCCAGGCAGGCGGTCTCATTGGGCGGCTGATAGTGATTGGTCTTGCAGTAACACTGGCCCGTCGTCTTGTTGCAATCCGGATGATAGCCCTGCTTGATGTTGCACTTACAGGGTCCGCAGACGCGCTCGCCCCACCAGCCGCCCGGGCACGGCTGCTGCAGGGTGCGCTCGCAGTAGTCGCCGTGCTGGTAGCTGCTGTTGCACTCGCAGCTGTAACCGCGCGAGAGGCTGACATTGGCGCGGCAGATGCCCGCGGCGCAGGGCTGAACCGTGCAGATGGGTGCACAGTCGGTGCCCACGTAGCCGGCGCTGCACTCGCAGGTGGCACGATCCCAGCTGTTGAAGCAGCTCGAGTGGGCGGGACAGCTGCTGGGGCACTGGGCACGCGACTCGCAGCCATCCTCGACATTCTCGCGTATGGTGGGTCGCGAGAGCACCGACTGACTCGCTCCGATGCGCACATCCTGGAGGCAGCCCTCGAAGGGCACAGCATCCGGGACGGTGCCAATAGTGCCATCCACGCTGCCCATCACAATTTTGCCCACATAGAGACCCTGCACCTTTTGCGACATGGGCACGGAGCCCGTGCGCTGGCCATAGTCCACGGAGAACTGTATTTCGGAACCCTGCTGCCACTTGATCTCCACGCGATGCCACTCGCCATCCGAGAGATAGGCCCCGGCCAGATACATGGGCTCGTTGTCGTAGATGTAGTAGAGCACGCCATGCTTCAGGCTAATTACCGCCGAGCTGTTCTGGCCAATCTGTATCTGCATGAGGAACGCGTCCTCCTGGCGCGTGCGCAGCGAGAAGGATGTTAGCCAGGGCAGCTGTATGGGACGCAGCAGCGGATTGAAGCTGAGGCTGCCATCGCCGGAGAAACGCCACGGTGCGGGTATGTTATCCTGGCAATTGTTGCCCGCATAGCCCTCGGGGCAGTCACAGGTGTAGGTGCTCCAGCCCTCGCGACAGGTGCCGCCATTGAAGCACGGCACCGAGGCGCACAGCGGCGACTTCTGTGGACAGCCGGAAATGGTGCCATTGTCCGCCACATACGAATTGAGGTCCACGTAGCGCTCATCGATGCGCAGATCCGAAATGCAGCCCACAAAGTCACGATTGGCCACCGGAAAGTGGGCGGGTATGCGGGGCAAACCGCCCACCTGCAGCGGCCCGGTGAGGTCGAGAAAACGATGACAGGTCTCGGTGAGCAGGGCACAGCGCTTATCCAGCCGAAGCGTGGTCTGATTGGCACAGTTCCAAGGAGCGCCCAGCTGCCCGGACAAGGCAATGGCCGTGTCGCATTTGTCCAGCACGAGGGTCACAGTGCGATTGAAGTAGATGATCTCCACCTCGTGCCAATTGCCATCGGACACCTTCGAGGGTTGGACGAGGGCAACGCGTTCGCTGCGATCGCCCAGGGAGAAGGAGAAGCCAATGTGTCCATCCAGCAGTTCCAGTGCAATAAAGTCGTGTAGTTCATTGTAGCGACCATTGTAAAGCAACAGCCCGTTGTCCTGGACCGTGGCAAAGCGCAGCTTGACATTAAAGCGATGCCGCTGCTTGAGGCTCTCGAAGGTCAGGAAGGAGTTGCGGGAGAAGGAACGAGCACGCAGCTCACAAGTGGCCGTGTAGGGCGGCGGCTGTGAGCTGAGGTAGTTGTTCATGCAGGACAAACCTCCATCACAGGCATCCGAGTTGCAGGCACGCAACTTGTTGATGCTCGTCTCGCAATTGGAGCCCGTGTGCGAGTCGGGACAGACGCAGGTGTAACCGCCTTCGCGACGCACGCAGCTGCCACCATTCTCACAGGGATTCGAATAGCAGAGATCCACCTCCGTGTCGCACAGATAATGCTCCTTGCTGCCCGTAAAGCCCTCGGGGCAGGAGCAGGCAAAGGTGTTAACTGGATAAATGGGTCTGAACAGCACCGTATCGCTGTGTATAAACTCCGAGGCATTGCCGAACTTCAGCACCGTGAGGCACTCCTCAAAGTTCAGACAAGGCTCACGCACACAGAGATTATCATCAAAGGGCAACACCTCCACGGTGGCCAGGCGGGCGAGAATCGCACGATTGAGATACACGCGCTCCTGCAGATACTGCGGCGTGTAGTACTCCTCGTGGGAGACATCCGGTCGCTTGGCGGAGAAGCTAACGTTGAGTATGCGTGAGGTGACATCCGTATCATCCTGTATGCTAAAGATAAAGATGCTCTCCTTGGGACAGGGTATAATGGCAGCCAGGCCGTCCAGGAAGAAGTTTAGCAGCGGCGACAGAAACGCCTCCTCAGTCATCTCGTTCAGTCGAACCGTCACCGAGTTGAACAACATATCCTCCGTGATCAGGCGCACAGATAGCTGCATGATGGCCTTGGCCTCGTTGATGCCATCCGAAACGGAAACCTCCATTGTGGCAAACTTGGGCACATTCGTGTTCAGCTGAGGACTCAGTATCAGTCCGCCGGAGCTGCTATTCAGGCGCAGGAGATTTGCATTGTTGCCGGACAGAATGCGATAGTTTAGCTTGTCGCTGACATCCGCATCAAAGGCGGGAATGCGTCCGATCTCCCCACTGGGAAAGTGATCCCTGAAATTATTGAAGATCACCTGGAAGTCGCGCAGCTCCGGTGCATTATCATTCACATCCGTGACCAGAATCTCAATGTGTGCATCATTTCGTAAGGGTGGACTCGCTGCGCGCACCACCAGCTCGAAACGCTTGCGTGAGGATTCATAGTCCAGTTCCGTCATTGTCAGCAGCTGAGCGCGCTCCGAGCCGGGCCGTGTAACGAGCGAAAAAGAGTTGGAATCATCGCCCCCAATAATGGAATAATGCACGACCGCATTGACGCCCTCGTCAGGATCGTGTGCGTGTATCTCTCCGACCACCGAACCCACTGGCGAATTCTCGGGCACATAGAGCGTTATCTTATCGGATGCAAAGGTGGGCGGCGAATCGTTGACATCCTCTAAGCGAATTTGCACCTCCACAGTGCTGGACAGCGGTGGTGAGCCTTTGTCCACGGCTATGGCGGTCAGATGGTAGATGGCCACGCTCTCCCTATCCAGGCCCTTGTTGGTGCGTATGGTTCCCGATGTGGGATCGATGACAAAGGAGCCATCCTCCACATCACGATCGCTCAGCAGATACTTGATGCGTCCATTCAAACCTATATCCGGATCACTGGCCGACACCTGTATGACCGAGGTGCCCACCAGCGCATCCTCCAGTATGGAGGATTGATAAAGCGGATTCTTGAAAGCCGGCGCATTGTCGTTAACATCCGTGACGCTTATTTCCACATCAGTGGTGTCGCTGAGCGAGGGATTGCCGCCATCCTTGGCCGTGACTGTGAGTAGGTAGCCACTGGTGGTCTCCCTATCCAGCGCTGCACTGGTTATAATGGCGCCCGTCTGTGCGTTTATGGTAAACGGATCCGGGCTGCTCAGTCCATTGATGCTCTCCTCGTTCAAGGAATAGGTAATCTGTGCATTGATACCGACATCACTGTCTGTGGCCGAAACCACCAGCACCGTGGTGCCCACTGGGGCATCCTCGAAAACCGAAGCGCTATACGGAGCATTCTCAAAGATAGGCGCAAAATTGTTCGCATCCGTAATGTTTATGTGGACTGTGGCCGTGTCGGAGCGTCCGCCCGAGTCCGTGGCGGTCACCGTTAGCAGGAAACGCTTCTCCTGTTTGTAGTCCAGCGGCTGGGCTATGGTTATGAGCCCGCGTCCATTTTGCGAAGTGATGGCAAAGCGTCCACGTGTATTTCCCGTGCTGATCTCGTAGTGCAGGCGCGAATCTTCATCCGGATCGGTGGCTGTTACGGTGGTCACAGGCGTGCCCGGCGGTTGATCCTCGCCCACATTGGCCTCATAATATTTGGGATTAAAGCTGGGATCGTTGTCGTTCACATCCTGCACGGTGATTACCACCGAGGAGCTGGCGGACTTGGGCGGCACACCGCCATCCTTGGCCACCACCTGAAAGGCAAAGCGACTCTGCTCCTCCCTATCCAGCGGCTTGATGGTCTGCACCCAGCCGGTGCGTGAATCAACAGCCAGCGGGAAATTATCGTCACGCTCCGAAATGCTGTAGCTAATCTCTGCATTGGCGCCCTCATCCGAATCGTAAGCCTGCACCCGGATGATGTTATAGCCCACGGGCACATTCTCCAGCACGCTCTCCTGGAACTGCGAGGTGTAGAATCGCGGCGCATTGTCATTGGCATCGATCACATTGACCAGCAGCTGGGTGGTGTTGCTGCGCGAGGGACTGCCTCCGTCCTGGGCACGTATAACCAAGCGATAGCTTCGCACGCTCTCATAGTCCAGCGGCTTGACCAGACTCACGTCGCCGCTCATCGAATCTATGGAGAACTGGGACTGGGTATTGCCTCCAATAATCGCATAACGTATGGCCGCATTGTTGCCCTGATCCGCATCGGTGGCGCGAATGTGCGCCACATTGTTGTCATCGCCCCACTGATCCTCTGGCACCTGAACGGTGTAGGTGCGTTCGCTGAACTGCGGATAGTTGTCATTGTCATCCAGGATTTTTACCAGCACACTGGCCGTGGCGGTCTTGCGTTCGCTCTGCGCCGCGGCCATGTCCGAGGCGGTCACGAGCAAATGGTAGCTGTCCGAGGTCTCGCGATCCAGGCTGCTGCGCGTGGAGATGACGCCAGAGCGTGAATCAATGCGAAAGATGGGCAGCTCCTGATCCTGTGCCACACCTGCACCATCTATAGAAAAGATAGGAAAATAGAAAATAAGGGAAGGGTTCGCTACGGCTATTCGGGACTACGAACTCACCTGTGACCGTTTCAATGCCGTATTCAATCTCCGCATTCTTGCCTATGTCCTGATCCGTGGCGCGCAGCGTTATTACCGTGGAGCCAACTGTGGCACCTTCGCGTATGCTCGCCTCAAACTGTTCCGCCTCGAAGGTCGGACTGTGATCGTTGCAGTCCAGGACGTTCACCTGCAAGGTGGTGGTGCCGCTACGCGGAGGAAAGCTATCATCGGTGGCAACCACCCGAAAGTAATGCACATCCATGAGCTCTCGATCGAGGCTGGCCGAGGTCGTAACCACACCCGTGCGTGAGTCTACCTTGAAAAGGGACTGTGAGCGCGAGTCGAGCAGCGAGACCATGGAATAGACCACAGGCGAATCCTCCGGATCGCGTGCACGCACCGTGGTGACAGCAGCGCCCGACGGTTGCTCCTCCAGCACGGAGGCCACATAGAGCGCCTGCTCGAAGTAGGGCGACTGATTCCGGAGCTCGCGACGCACACGCTTCGCAATGTCCGTATCGTTAAACTCCTGATGATGATAGACGATCTTCAGGCGATGATCGGAGTCGACAATATCGTTGCGGTTGCAGCGTATGTTGAACGTGATGCTGACCTTCCACATGGACTCATGTATGCAGACATCCCGGCTGGCCACCAGATCCCGATTCTGATGCTCAATGGCAAAGCGCTCGTCGTTCACATCCAGGAAGTTCACCTTGCAGTGCTGGCATACGGACTTGGGCAGAAAGGCGTTCAGATTGTTGATGAACTGCGACTTGCGCAAACAGATCTGGTTCCACTTGTCCGTCGTGTGTATGGCATACGAGGCATATGTCTCCGATATCCACTGCTTGGCATCGGAGATGCGTCTGTGCAGCGCGGGCTGCAGCTGCAGCGGATCTGTGGCAATGGCGCGACGCTTTCTGCTCAATATGCGATGGCGCATCTCGTTGTCAAAGCTATTGCCAAAGATCAGATCGCCGGCGCGAAAGTCTGTGCTGTTCTGGCTGTAGGCCAGCTCCAGCTGATTGCCATCGAGCAGGAGCAGCTGCTGTGTGCTGCGACGCCGGCGCCGCTTGGAGTAGCCGGTGTTGTCCTCCTCCTCGAAATGATGCAAGTGGTGCAGCTCCTGCTCAATGCGTCGATCCTCATTGCAGCTGTGACCCGAGATGAAGATGCGCACCGGCAGGCTATAATAGTCAATGGATCTCAAGCGATTCGATGTCGAGTCCACGTAGAAGGTAAACAGATTGGGATAGTAGATGCCATCGCATTTGAGCGATTTCTTTAGCTGGATTTGGCCATCCTTGTGGCTGACCGCGACTAGATGATGCACAAAGTTCGCCGACTTGTGCGCATTGATTTTATAATGACGTTCCGAGCCGAGCTTGTAGACGGACGCATTAAATATGACTGCGCCCGGCGGCGTTTGCTCATGCACAATGATTAGATACCCCGATATGTGGATTATGTGGGCAGACAGATGCAGCAGCAGCATCAGTAGCCATGACCACCACCAGCAAGGATTCGACTTTGTTTGCATGGCAACTGCACTTGATTATCCTTCTTGTTGATATCTATAGAGGTCTCTGCCTCTAGATGTGTGCGTGTGTGTGGTTATGTGGGTGTGCTTGGTGTGTGTGTGTGTGCGGCTTGAATGGCAAACAAACCACAGCGCAATTAATGCCTCTATTCAATTATCATTGGTGCGCTGCATTGCCTGTGTGGGTGTGGAGTAGAGCAAAGGGAAAGCGAGTTAGCAATTGATTACAAATATATACAAACACACACACAAATATATACATGAAGACATGCGCTCGTGTAAGCCATAAATTAAATCAGCGCTCGAAAATAGGCAACAATTTTCAACATACACCAGGAAAATATGACGCATACGCCCCGCTGTCAAAAAGGGGGGAAACAAACTGAATCTGTCACAGCTGCTGACAGCTTCAATGCTGCCTTTTGGCTTAATTAAACACGAGTGCGCGAGCATAAGTCATGTGCTTGCGACTGCCAGATACACTTCTAAAGAAAAATATATTAGCATATGTTCCTTCGGCAACTTCCTGTTTTTCTGCATAATTTGAGACCTGTTCTGCAAAACTTTTCAATCGCAGCTGTCAAAACATATTTTAATTTAATCTAGTGAGTAAAATATTTGTCTGTTGACTTTCGCGTGCTGACAGGCAGCTGGAAAATGACTTACTGATATAAATTAAATAGATAAATAAACATCTTTTGACGATTAAAGAAGGGTTTACATTAATATACAACACTAAGAGTTATCATAGTGCGAAACTTTACAACACTGCTCATAAAATGGCTAACAATTAAGCTTTCGCTATAAATCAAAATGAAAACAATTGAAAACTTTCTATTTGTAGCCCACTTATTGACTCTTCTTATATATGTATAAAATATGAAAAACCCTTAAAGTATCTGAGTATCCACTTCTAAAGATTTCTAACACTACCTGCGACTGCAAAACCCATACTCAACACTGGTTATTTTAACCGTTGTCAATGCTAATTATGAGCGAATATTTCATGCCAAACGAGTTCTGTTAGCCTGTGCAACCTTTTGCGTGTTTCTTTTTTTGTGCACTTTTCATTCTGATGGAGTACAGAGTATTAAAATCTCATGTTTGCTGTTTGCTCGCACAAATTCATGACGACAGCGCTGTAGAGGACATGGGCACAGGAGACAGACAGTTTTTAATTTCATTCTGTTGGGCATGTGAAAGCGAGCAAGTTGAAACACAAAACTTTTCATTTTGTGCTAAAATGAAGCATAGAAATTTTATTTTACCAATTTTTTTTTCAACTCTCTCTCCTATTTTGCCATCGGATTCTCTGAAATCCTTTATGCCGTTGTTCAAAGCTGAAATACAGCTTAATCAGATAACAAGCCAGCACAAAGCAGCCAACAAAATGCCACAGCATGGGCGAGTGAGAATGTGAGTGTGTATGCGAATGAATGAGCCGTGCATTCCACCAGCGGCAGCTCGAATGACCGAATGTCACACAGGGGTTCATTATGGGCAAAGTTTTGCAAATTTAATGAAATTCGATTTGGTCGGTGCGGCTCGCTAATGCCATATGACCGAGCGCATTTACCAGCTAATTAACAGTGCAAAAAAACAACATTGACACAGTTACCAACACTGGCCGTATGTTAAAAGTGCTGCCCCTTAGGAGCTAACATAACATGGCAAGGGGTGGGGGGGCAGGGCCAACGGGTTATGCCATATGCCATTGCGGGTATTCAATTTCAATTTTATGCCCTTAACGAGGCCCAAGTCCAGGCCCCGATGTCGGACCACACACAAATTTTCCCACGTTGCGCATACGCCCCCCGTTGCGCCTGGCTGAATGCAAAATTTTGCAATTGGGCTACAAAAACTTGGCGAATATTAATGTCTGCCCCTAAAGGCGGCTCGTCCACCTACCCCTCCCCTATCGCACGCTGGGCCTTCGTTAAGCTCTCTTTTAATTGCAGTGTTAACATGTTTAATTAAAATTTCAGCTTGAACGCGCAGCGTGCGCGCGCTCTATGAAAAATGCAAAAGTCGAGACGGCAGCCAGACATGAGGCGCTTTGTTGTTATTGTTGTGGCTGCTGTGTGTGTGTGTGTGTGTGTGTGTGTTGGGTGTGGGGTGTGCAGCAGCTGCAGCCAACAGCCAGCTGCGATTGGAAGTCAACAAGCGTGCGCCCAACTAAATGCGAGCTCTTTTCATGCTACGTCAAGCTTGAACAAAAAGTGTATATATATGAAAACTGCAACGCGACGTCAAAAGTCAACAACATGAAATTATTAAATTTTCACACGCTGACGGCAAAAACAATAAAAGGCAAGCAAATTTATTAACTGACTCTAACAAGCCGAATATTATGTACTCTAAACTCAACAAGCAAATGCCAAAGTGTCTACATTCTTGAAGAAAAGCTGAGCATAAGCTACAATGTAAGCATGAATGTATTATATTTATATATATTTAGTTGGAGAAACCTTAAGATAACCAGATTTTTTAAATATTAAGATTTATATCTATATGGTCTTATACCTGTCTTAACAGGGCAGACATACCTTAGGCCCATGCATTTATACCCCAGCGAATAAATACCCTGCTTCATAAAGAAATCACCGACATGTGTCAGATGCGGCCAGGTGTGAAAATGTTAAGGCGCCGCCTGGAAATTCTGAGTGCACAGCATTTAGTTGTTGTTGTTGTTGCTCTTCATGTTTTCTACGCCTTTTGGCACAAACTATTTGCAGTATTTTGCGAGAGAGAACAAATTTTAAGACGCCTGTTTGCGGAACTAATTAATGTTTTATGTAAGAGTATGGAACAGGAAGTTTAGTGTGGGCCAGTGTTGTAAAGCGGGTTCTTTAGTTAACGATTAGAGGCGTGTGCGCCAGTGTTGTAGGTCGGGTTCTCTAGTTTTCGACATGAATTACGATTTGAGGCGGTTTGTCTAGTTTTCGACATGAATTACAATTTGAAGCGTGGCTTCCGTTTTGGCACTGCGGATACATAATTAATGAGCACAACTTACGCAGCGCTAATTAACAATGCGCCAAGGCGAAGGCTCAGGCTCAGGCTCAGCACTTGCAAGTTACCCAAAATTCTCCGTGCAGGCACTTGTAATTCGAGGTAATGTGGCACAGATGATATATGGCTTCGACTCTGGCCCAAAATGGCGTCATTTGGGCGGCATGCAAAAGCCTAAAACACCCCAAACGGACTGTCAAATTCAGGAAGCCAGCCAAATTTGCCACATGTAACACACACCAGCTAAGTGTGCGGGTGTATGTGTGTGCGGGTGTGTGACTGTGTGTATTTATAGTTAGGTGTTTGCTTGTCGCATTCAAAGGGGTTGCAAGTGCCGCCGCCATAAACATGCCAAATTTACGAGACAGCGGGAAACTTTTTTAAGTAGCGACATCTTAGCGCTACCTGAAATCTTATACGCCACGCCCACAAAGCCGGCCCAGTTGAGAAAGCAGCCCCAAAGTGGCCCCTCAGCCTGTCGTCTTGTAACTTTTCGCCGAGCAACTGATAAAATTTCAGCGCACTTCAAGCAAAAATGCAAAGCAAATAGCGCGGGAATAAAAGTAAAAGAGACAAAAAAATAAAACAAAGCAAAGTCTACGTTAAGCTTGATACAAATTTAATATATAATAGCTGGCTAAGTGGGCGCGAAACGGGGCGTGGCGCTGTCAGCTTGCTTTGTCTCCGAGCGCAGCTAATGAGCGCCCAACTTTAGCTATATAATTTTGTTTTTCTCTTTTTTTTTGGAAATTTCTTCTCATTTCTTTTTTTTTGCATGTAATTTGAGGCAGTCGAGGGTGTGGCTTGGGCGCGGAGCAGCAGGAGTCAGGATTTTTGAAATTTGCTTTGTTTCAGCAGCAGCGAAAAAAGTGGCAAGGGCAGAGGAGGGTGCGGGTGCTGCTTGCTCAACTAATGAAAATTGATCAACATTAGGCGTCTCATTATTGTCACTTGGGCAATTTGCTTTGATGACTTTGTTGTTGTTGTTGTTGTTTTAATTAGCTTGAAGCGACCAAAATTGGCAGTGCTTAAATATAATTGGCTATTGCAGCCAATGCAAATGCGCACACAAGCAAATCAATTAGGTGTGTGCTTAAATAGCTCTCGGCAAATGGGCGTGGCTTGCTAAAACAGCAACAACAACACCAACAACAAAAGCCACACACAATAAACACAATTTATGATAATAATAATAAACAAGAGAGGCGCATTAGCCATGGCCTGTCGAGCATTGGTATTAGAAGTATGTTTGATAAATACTACACCTTAATTTTCAATAGATTGTTAGTAAAACGTTGGCTCAATACTTCGAAGGTACATTGTATTCAATAACTATATTATATAGTAATTCGATCTAATGTTGATTATCTGTAGTTAGGAGTAACATTTTTATCAAGTTTCCCGGATCGGGCATATTTTTGTTTCCTAATAGCAAATGCCTTCTCCTCATTTATTGACGCTTCCTGCTCAACATTTGTCATTTCTTGATCAAAATATAATTCCCTTTTATTATGGCCATAAACAACTCGAGGCGTAACTCACTCTGCCAACAGACAATTAATTTGTAGCATACTTTTCTGGGGCGTGACACATGTAAAACTTAATTTCCATAAATTTTGGCTAATTTAGCTGGCTCATAAATGTGTGTTGGGTGGAGGATTGGCGTGTCTAAAACGAACAAACAAACGAACAAACATGAAATGCAATAAAATTCGTCTGGCAGGTTTGCGTGCCGGAAATGCGATTCCGGTCTAGACACAATAAGGGAAAATACCAAATGATATTAGAGCCACAGCAATAAGAACAACAATAAGTATTATAATAACACCTGCAGACAGCATTTTTACTGCATTAAAAGCGCATTAGCTAAGGATGAGAAATTCGCGTAGAGCGGGAGATGACATTGCGTATACGTAATGTGGCACGTCTGCAACTGCGCCTGCCGCTGTCTGTGCGAGTGGCCCCTGAGGGGCATGTGCAGCCGACTGCTCACAAAAGTGTGTGCACACACACACACACATCAAACACACACACACATTTTTTAGTTGCCGTAACTTGAGTGCTCACTGCCACAGTCTATTAAACGATGAAGGTGTGCGGATGTGTGCTTTGGGACATGCCAAACCCTTTGCAGCAAATGAATTTAAGCTGCCATTTAAGACTTGCAGCTCAGCTACGTGCAATAACAATTAATATAGCATTAAAGCTGAAATATTACGTACACGCAACGCCTGCAAATAAATATATGAAATTTATTGATTTAAGCAACAGGAAACGGGGCCAAGGCAGCGGAAACAGCAGCCACAGCAGCACAAGATGCAGAACCAGAACAACCAGAAGTACATGATTCAACAACAACAACAACAACAAAAACAACGAAACTTTATTTTACTTTTGTTGGACATGCAACAAGGAAAAACGCTGCGAGCGGCAACAAAAGAAATGCCAACAAGCAGCCAACAATATCAACAAGAACGAGAGCAAAGGAGTCTCGAGCTTTTTGTGGCGCGCCCCCGTCTCCGTCTCCGCCCCCGCCATCCATCGCCCAACACCGCCGTCAGACACAGAAATGCAATTGAGTTTAAACGGCAACAATCCTGTTCTCTCCTGGCTGCAAGTTTGCATAGAATTGTGCATAGAAACCAGTCGAAAACACTTGCATCCCATATATGTAATGGGGCATGTCGCCCCTCTGCCCCCGCCCCAGTTTACGTGCAACATGGTGTACAAATTAAAAATGTGCCAGCGGCGTGACAAAACTCTAAATACAACAGGAACTGCGAACAAGCAGAGCAGAACTGAGAACTGAGAGTTTGTAAAATTAAACCTGAGCAATCTGACAGAACGTCTGTCATATTCACAAGTTCCTCCACGCTTTTAATTTGGTTTCAAATATTGCAAATATTTATAACCTGTAAATGGTTGAAGGTAGCTTTAAGACTGAGTGAAAGCTTTCTTTGAAACACTTTGAGTAGCTTAAGCATGTCGTAAGCTGCTTTGCGCAGTCAGTTCTAATCAATTTATTTTAAGTTTTTACTTACAGATGCATATTTTACATTTGACTTATTTGGATCTAACTAAAACTGAGAGAAGACTTCACTGTTGTATTCAAATAGAATAAAGCTTTAAGAAAGCGTTACAATAAATTCACATAGAAAAATTTAACTAAAGCTGTAAGACAGCTTTATAGTCTTGATTAAATGCAATTGGGCTTTAAGAAAGCTATACTGAGATCAAGGAGTATTTGAAATAAGGGAGTACTTGAAATGAATATCAGACTAGTAAAAGCTTTAAAGGAGCTTTGCGTACAAACAAAACTCAAATCATAGCTTAACGCTTAAAGCTTTAGACTATCCCAATTAAGCTCACTTAAAGCTTAAAGCTTTCTTCGTTCTCCACGATTGATTTACATTTTTGTCTAATTCTTATTATTTTATTTCTCACTTTTAGTTGAAAACCCCTTCAAACCTTAATTCGATCGATGCCAGCTTTAATGTAATAGCTAAATACAATAAAGCTCAATTAAAGCTCTTTTCATTTTATACGATTGCCATGTATTTACGTCTCATTCTAATTATTAAATCTATTACCCTCAGCTTATTTCCTCTTAAAAGTTATAGCTCGATACAATAAAGCTCACTTAAAGCGTAGAGCTTTAAACCTTTATCTAAATCCAATTCACTTCACTAATAACATTTTTCGTTTTTTACGATTGCTCTTAAGTTTCGCCTCAGTTTAATTATGTTATTTCTAACTTTGAATTTTCTTAAGCCCTCTCTATAAAGTAAAGTTTAAGAATATCTTAATTTTATTCAGCTAGTATACTTTGCAAAAACAAATCGATGCGAACTTTATGGTAATAGCTCGATACAATAAAGTTCATTTTTACCTTTTGCTTTTGTTTTGATAAATTTTTGCATTTATAACGCTTTCTTTTCTTGGAATTTAAATTTCCTTAAACTCTCCGAAAAACACATAAAAAGATTAAAAGCTTGTCATGTATATTTAATAGCTGCTAAAAGCGCTGCAAGCTTAAATACGGACTCCGAAAAAAAGAAGAAAGTTAGCATAAATAAAAATATTCTGCCATATAATATATGTAATGTTTCCCATGCACATTCGCTCTATGTATGTAATATACCATATATTTAGTATATATACTACGTAAGTACTTTCAAGCTACGACGCACAGGCTACTTATACGCAATGCAAAATTTATAGCCCTGCTTAGAGTTTCGAGTGGCAAGCAATAGACAGGACTCAGCAGGCGAGGCAACAGCCAGTTGCTGCCCCCAAGCAGCCATATATTATAACAGTACACATAGTATATTTAGTATATATATTTAAATTTAAATGCAAATCGAGTCAGAGTCATGCAACAGCCACAGGCGGCAAATCTCCACTTGCCGCGTCTCAACCAGGCAAACGAAAAAATAAAAAAAAATAAAAATTGAAAGCTTTAAGAAATTGCCAGTTGAACACTTCATTAGTGGCTTGTGGCAATTGGCGCGTATCGTGGAATTTATTTGCTACTGTCAGCTGCCTGACATTTTCCATTTAATTGTGCGCTGTTACGTGTGCAAAGCCAGGGAAAACCCGAAGCCAAAAGTTTTCCGGCTCTGCCGTGACACAAAAATCAATAAGCGATGCTGCGCTCGCAATTAATGTGCCACAAATCGAGAGACATGTTTGAAGGAAAAAAGAAATAAGCTCTTTGAATTGCAGAGCTCGGGAAGTTTTGCAGTTGCCAACAATGCGATAAATTTGCAAGGATTGAGTTCTAAAATGAAACTACATTTGCAGCTAAGCCCGCCAGCCTGTTAAATGTCCCGGCAATAGTTGCATCAGTTGCCAGCGCTGAAATGTATGCTACGCAAAAAAATAAAAAAGAAGCCAAGCCAGTGGCAATAAAGGGCACTAAGCTGGCTGAATGACCAGCAAAATGCGTGCATAACTGGGCCAAACTGCAGTAGAGCAGCCATGCGTATCTGTATCTGTATCTGTGCGTATCTGTATCTGTATCTGTGTCTGTATCTGTTTAACTTGTGCTAAGCCCTCAAGTTAATTGAAATGCAGCCGTGCGCTTTGTTAAATCTCAAATGATAAACACTGCCAGCGGCCATAGATCAAAGTACAAAGCAGCGGGGGGGGCGGTGGGTAGAGTGGGGCTGACATGCAGCTTTTGCTCAGCACTCTGTGCTTTGTGGGCTGCCACGCAGCGTTGCATTGTTTGCAATTAAGTTTTGTGACAGCAAAGGCACTCGCAACATATGGCAACGCTTAATCAAGAGCACAATGGCTGCCGGAAATGTGCTGCCACTGGCTGTGTCGCCTATGTCTGTGTCGCTGACAAGACGCCACTTGTGCCACAAAGCTGCGTGCCGCATATCTCTGCGCCTCTCAGATACAAGATACTTTTACTCGTATGCGGTATATGGGTCGTGGCGCACTCAAGCGCAAATTCCATTGAATTTATTTAATTTATAGTTCCTTCTGCTTATGTTAATTCCGGCTTAATGCCAGTCAACAGTTTTATGGCAAATTTATGCAGCAGCACTATGAAATATTGCAAAAGCCAGAGGGAGTGCGAGAAGATTGAGGCACTTTAAAGTACCCACATTAATCTCTATAAACTCGAAAGCGATTTAAATAAATTGACTGTGAGTCGTCCAAATGTCACTCAAGACAAGTCTAACTAAATTGCCAAGTTTAAAGCAGAAATATAACCAGACTTTACCATATATCTATATGCTGTATATATAGTAAATGTGTGTGTGTGTCAGAGTGTGCCAGAGCTCACTGTAGTCATCAATTAATTGAAAGCATTTCAATGCACATGCAGCACCAATGCTGACAATAAGTGCCATCAGCTTTGCTAATGATTCACAAGAAGGCAATATACAAGCATGAATTCACTGCTCAACTAAAAAATACCCTATAAGCTTGTAAATATAAGATCTATTGGAGATATATATATCAAGTTGAAGTTACTGAGATATAGGAATATGTCTGGCTAACTACTGTTCTGTCTATATTTTACATTCGCAAGATCTAGATAAGATTTATATCAGATGTATACTAAATATTGGCGTGCTAGCTTTTGCAGATCCTGACTTGTTCTAGCAAATATACAGAATAAATCTGGCTAAATACTGTTCACGCTATTTTTTTTTTTATATATAAAAATTTCCAGCGACATGTATGTCACCTGCTTCATTTGCACAACCTGATGATACCCTTATTGAGGGTAACAGAACACAACAAACAGTGCACAGAAGAAGAAGCAGCAGCGACAAATGCGATTTAAGCTGCTGCAGCGAGGAGATATACGAGTGTCTGTCAAGTAAAAGTGGAACAACAGCAGCTCCAATGGTAGCAGAAACAATGGCAGCCATTATCAATAATGGAAAGGGAATGGAAATGGAAATCGGAGCCTCTGGCAGCAGGCATGGACAATAAGAAGAAGACGGGGCGTATGGGGCGTATGCGCAATGTAATCCACTTAGTTAATGCTGAAAGTGGCAGTTGGCAGCCCAAGTTGACGAATTACAAGTTTCACTTACCTTTTAGCGGAATTACAGCAATTATCAGGTTCACATTCAATCCTCAGAGAGCACATATTGAAGCTGCAAGCGCAACAAAAGGAAAAATCAGAAAATCAGTAAGGAAATGTTCTATTATCTGACATTGATATGCGTGCAAGAGCAAGCGGCAGCAACATCTAATTATCAGTAGAAATGACTGACAACAGGCACAAGCTCAAATTGCTTTTACAGGCGACTGACCGCCTGACTGCAGACGGCGACTAGAGCCAAGATAAACAAATACTTCTGAACAAATTTTACAACTCTTGCAATAAGCTACAAAAAATAAACCCCAAGAAATACAAAATACAAGCCACAAAACCTGCAAAATTTCAATTTCAAAATAAAAATTCTTTTCTGTGTTGTGTCAAAGACTTAGCTAGAAAATTAACTTTTGGCAGATCAACTACAGCCAAACACATATGAAAATTAAGCTAACACAAATGCTTGACTAAGAAATGCCCTGTGCTTAATGTATAAAATCTATAAAGGTTGCATTTAAAATGGTTTTAAATTTTACTTAGATACGAGAGGCGCAGGCAAGATCAAAAGGTTAGTTCGCATAAAAAATGGATTTACTTTGGAGAAAGTTGGGCTGAAATTGATGGCCTAGCATATATTTATGCCACTTAAAATTCCAAGAAATGTAATATACCCCTTAGTTGTGATTGGGTAAGGGTAAGACTTGATTACACAAAAACTTGCAAGCATAAATAAGCGCACAGCTGGCATATGAATTGCTAAAACAGTAAAGATAGCAACCACATTGGGCAACTTTATGTGTGTGTGTGAGAGTGTGTGCGTGTGCGTTTGAGTGTGTGTGGGTGTGTGACAGAGTCATAAGTTACATCTTGCATACTTTTGTGCGCAGAGCCAAGGCAACACAAACTCTTTCAGTCGTTATTAATGTGAGTGGCTGCCACTTAAGTGTGTGTGTGATGTGTGCGTAATATCTATGTGCATGTGTGTGTGTGTGTGTGTGTGTGCATGTCTGTCTGTCGAGTGTAAAGTGTAGACCAGTTGGCAGTTGGCTGGAAATGCAACTGCTGCTGCTGGTAATCAGCATTGACAGTTGTTGAAACTTCGTCAAGCTAATGTCGTGCTGTTTATGATAGCTACTCAGCTGCCTTGCCCGCTGCCCCGCAGCTTCCCCCGCAGCTGCTCCCCATTTCGAGTTACACTTGCAACTAGTTGAAGCTACAGAGTCGGAATTAAGGTGTGGCAAGAGCAGCTTAAATTTGTTTTATGCGGCTCAACGCAGCGCGCAAGCAATCAGCATTAAGCAGGGCGCTGACAGCAGCTTAATCAGCATTAAGTGCAGGGAGAGAGAGGAGAGAGAGACGGAGAGAGAGACGTTCAAAAAGGATAAAGGATATAACAAGTAGAGCTGTAGGGAATGTATGCAATAACGAAACCCGTAGGCAGCCGAATGGATTTTTATTGTTCGCCGCAACTCTTGAGTCGAAACAAATTGCAAAAGTAAATAAAACAAAAGGCGCGGCAACAGGCTGCCAACGGCAGGACACAAAAGGCGGCTGGATGCGCAGGGAGGGCGGGGCAAGGTGTCCCTGCTGGTACGTGGCAAAGCGTCCACAAAGGACATAATGAATACGCTTAACTTTTAAGTCACGCTGCGAGATAACTTTCCCAGGAATAATGGCGCGAATAATGATGCTGACAAACAGCAGCAGCAGCAGCAGCAGCAGCAGCAACAACAACAAGGACAACACAAGGATTCAAGACAAAAGGCAGGCCACACAGTGCCATAGATACGCGAATGCTGAATATAAAGCAGCCTCAGCTCTGTGCGTGGGTGTGTGCGTGCGTGTGTGAGTGGGTGTTGCCATTAATGTAAATGCGACTCATTAAAGTGTCAATATGACTTTCGATGCGACGCAATGTGGCATGTTGTGAGTTGCCCGCACACAAAAAGCAGCCAGCGCAACTTCAATCAATATCAAAAAAAGGAAAAAGAAAAAAAACGAAAAATTGTACACTCGGGCTGCTGGATATTAAAAACGCCTGCAGACATATGGCAGTCAATTATTGTGCTCCTAGAACTCAACTGTTGAGTCGAGTAAGTAAGAAATAAATTAAATCAATTTGTCATCCTCATCAGAAATATTTGACTGTTATTTCTTATTTTGTGACACAATTAAAATACCTTTGAAAAGGGTATTAAAAATAACAGCCAAGGTATTCGTGGTCAAGCGGCGACAGCAAAGGGTGCGCTGCCCAGGAATTCTCGTGTCCAAAAACTCATTTAAGGGTTACGCGCTGTTCCAGCAAATGAGTCATCATTGGGCAAATACGCACAGCAACCAATCACACACAAAGCAAACACACACACACACACACACACACACACACTGGCTGTCAAAGCAATGTCAACGCCCAACAATTTGTGCATTTGTGTCTGTGTGTGTGCCAAATTTATTCGCGTTTTGTGTTTTTGGCAAATGCAATCATTTTGTTACGTGGTTTCATTTTATGCTCCGCACCCCCGCACACACCCACACACACATGCACATGCACATCAGCCCTAAGCCAATAACATGCAAAAAGTTCGTTTATAGATGCCACACACACACACATACACACACACATACACACACACACACACATGCAAGCACGCGCTTGCACCGTGCAACGTGGCGTATGTGTAACGTGTGTGCAAATATTGTCTCAATTTGGCGCTGGCTCCACACTTGGCTGGTTGGTTTTGGCCAAATTGAGTCGTCGCAGCTTATGCAGATGCTGCAACCATCCGCTCACTTCAACCACACTCCCCCCCCCCCCCCCCCCCCACAATCCCCTCAAACCCCTTCACCCCTCGCCCACCACTCGGTTACATTCCTTGAGCTTCAATGTGAAAATAAACAATTTGTATGCGAATTTTGCCTTTGCCATGCAACAGCAGCCCATGAATATGAAAATTTTCCAGTTTCTGCAATTTCAGCTTGAACTCGCCAGAGTTGTCAGCCAGTTGTCGATAGACACAGCAATCCCCACGGCATACCCACCCACAGCCATCTCTCCCCTCCCTTCCTTCCCACTCTCCTACCCGACAAAGTCTTTGTTTCTGTTTAGACTCAACAAACTGCTAGAAAATTGAATGCAAAATATGACGATGTTCGATTGAGAGATTTTCTATAAAGCAGCTGCGCACATAATCCTTCCTTCTCCCCACAGCCGGTTAACACCCTGCCCCTAGCCCCAGCCACACGCTATAGCTATTGAAGTTTTGGAGCAAATATAAATATTTGGCTAACCGAAATACGTCGGAGCAGCACATCAAGCAGAAATTAAACGTTCATGCAAATTGCGTAGACGCTTTCCTGGCTCTGGAACTACGTTTCCGTTTCCGTTCCCATTGCGCTCCTTACATAACCATAACTAACTGAATATAAGCGAAAACTGTAAATCTGCAATAAGCTGCTTTTCCCCAAAAACAACAACAACATCAACAGCATAAAAGGAGCAGGACATTCATGTAGATATTTGAACAAGAATAACATGCGATGCATTTGCAATTTTGTGCTTGTAAATGAAAAGCTGAAAGCATATTTAACGCAGCTGCCTCGGCAAGTGGAAAATTCATTTTCCAATAAGACAATAACAACAAAGCGGTATAATGCATTCCATAAAATAACATTCGAGACAATTGCCAAGCTAAAGCTGAAATTGTTGCCTTTGTATTGGTTGGCATTATGGAAAACTATAAAGGCGAGAATGGTAAGCGGAGATATACCCTCTAACTAGTAGGTGGAAGGTATGCTAGACTCATTTCGAATATACCTTGAGCCAAGCGAATATGCTAATGTCGCTTTTCTATCGAGTTCCTACCTTCCATAATACTTCGCCAGATAAAAGTCTGTGTCGCCTGGAATATACACTTAAAATTTGTGATTTTGTTTTCCTCTCTGGTTATTCTTCTCTATATAATTATTATATGATTCTCGTCTCTAACCTTGGTAAACTCCCTTTTCAGCTATATTTTCATGGGTAGAGGCATAAAAATATTATGCACAAGTTCTTTAGAAATGAGCTTATGCATATCCGGACTTCATTAGGGGTAGCCACAAGCATGTTATTAATGCCAAATACATTACCCACAATATATTTAAGAAAGCATAAGAGGGCGCAATTTTGCATTTAATTAATGCACTGAGCATTTGTCCTCAGCATGTTCAAGTTGAACTCTTTGTGCGCTTTTCCACATGCCACGCAGAGCACAATCCACTTCAGACATAATCACCGAAGAGCCAGGGAGAAGGCGGATATGTATATATATATATGTATATAACAAGAGACGAGCTGTTCCTGCCCAACGTATGGCTGTCAAAGCGCTCTGAGCAAATGTGGCGCATTTGTATTAATGGCAGAGCCATTGAGCAGGAGCAGCCAACTCCCAGACCCAAGAGCCAAGAGGCACAGGTAGCAGCTCCAGCTCCAGCTGCAGCTTCGGCTACAGCTCAGGTATTTGGCTGCCTTTTGGCATTTGAAGTGCATGGCAATGTGCATGCGAATGCTTTTGAATCAACTCATTCAGAGAGCCGACAAGAGTCGCAGAGCTCAACTCTCGTCCATCCACATTCCCGCCTTCCCCTGTTCGTATGACTCTCATATGTGCAACAGCAGCAACTGAATAAGTGAATCTGTTCATTGAGTGCATCGGGCTTTTGCATTTATTTAGCAATTACACAACTCGTGTATGAACTGCAGTTATACGTAGCTCGTGGGTTGATCAATAAATGAGAAAAAACCATTCAAACCATAACTGTTGAGAGAGGTAGGAAATTTAGTAAACCAAATATTGGTAATGGTTTTATTTGCAAACGTTTACGAATGCGACACAAAGAGGAATTGAAAAGACAAGTGTAAAGGTAATAACAATAATAAATAAACCGAAAAGGTTTATCATAGAAACGTTTACGAATGCGACACAAAGAGGAACTGAAAAGACTAGTGCAGAGAAAAAAATAATAAAAATTTAAGAGACTGATGTGGAGGTAATAATAATAATAAATAGACGGGATACT